GGCTGTTAACACTGGTCTCACTTTTTGCCCACTGGAGCCTGGCTTGGAGCAGGGTAGAACAGTGTACAAGGCAGCAGGGTACAGAGGATAATATACCATCTTTAGTCAGACTGCCTGAGACTAATAAATTCTGACACACCTACCAATTAAGTGACCTTGGGGAAATGACTTAATTTCTCCCTTCTAGAAAATGGAAACAAGACAGTCTCTTCCCAGTTGTTGTCTGAGGATTGAGATGTTTGTAAGGGGATAATCCTGGCCCTGGCATTTAGTGAACACTCAAATGTAAGCTAAGTCTAGTTATTCCTCGCTCTCTTAACCCTTTACTCTCTGCATCTACAAAAGAAAACACACAAATATGGATACATTTCTGGTCAAATCTATTGTCATCCAAATTCCACATATGTGTCATGTGAGACTCAAAAATCAAAGCAATGGCCAGGTGTAGTAGCATACAGCAACTTGGGAGGGTGAGGTGGTAGGATCACAAGTTCGAGGTAAGCCTCAATAACTTATTGAGACTCTATCTCAAAAAAAAATAAAAAATAAAAATAAAAAAGGGCTGGTGTTGTAGCTCAGTGGTATGGCATCCCTGGGTTCAATCCCCAGCAAGGGTCGGGGGGGAAAGTAGGCAACTCAGTATCCCTTATGATCTCATATGCTATCTGACCCAGAAATAAATAGACTTGGGTAAAGAGAGATACCTCATTATTTAAAGAGAATTTATGAATCATCATTTCAAACCACGGATTAAAAATGAATATTCTGCCAATAGTGAACCATGGCAACATGTTTGCATTGTTTGGTTCGTTTTCAATGAGTTAAGAATAATTTAGCCAGGTATGATGGAGCACACCTGTAATCCCAGTGACTCAAGAGACCAAGGCAGGAGAATCACAAGTTCAAGGCCAGCCTCAGCAATTTAGTGAGGCCCTAAGTATCTTAGCAAGATCTTGTCTCAAAATAAAAACTAAAAAGGACTAGGGTTTGGCTCAGTGGTTAAGCACCTCTGGGTTCAACCCCTGGTACGAAAAGAAAAGAGAATAATTTAAAAAACTGAAATTTGGGGGGCTGGGGTTGTGGCTCAGTGGTAGAGTGCTCGCCTAGCATGTGCGAAGCCCTGTGTTTGATCCTCAGCACCACATAAAGATAAATAAATAAAGGTATTGTGTCCAATTACAACTAAAAAGTAAATACTTAAAGAAAAATTGAAATTTTGACTTGATCATCTTTTTTTTTTTTAAATGTTTTTTAGTTGTCAATGGACCTTTATTTTTATTTATTTATATGTGGTACTGAGAATTGAACCTAGGGCCTCACACATGCTAGGCAAGTGCTCTACCACTGAGCTACAACCCCAGCCCGACTTGATCATCTTTTAAGCAAGAAAAACTGATCCTGATGGTTTCAAAGTAGGCAACTCTTTCTAGGCACAACCCGTCTTGTAATAGTTGCCTATCCTGCTATAATTCAATCAGTGGGCAACAGAGTCTATATGGTTTTCTCTAGGATTAAAATAAATCTGTTTTCCATTCAACTCTTTTGTGTGTGTATGTGAGATATATATATATATATATATATATATATATATATATATATATATATATATATATATATATATATGTATATATATTTGGGATCCAACCCAGGGCCTTGTGCATGCAAGGCCAGCACTCTACCAACTGAGCTATATCCCCAGCCCTCCATTCAACTTTTAACTCAATCCTAAAGATAACCCATGAAAGTCCTAAGGATAGCTCCAAAACTAGAACCAAATTAATCTCAAGAGCAAACAAAACCACAGGAAGACAGAAAAGAGAAAATAACTGGCACCAGAAATTCTTTATTCAAACAAGAATTCTGTTCTCAGTACTGATCTAGAATCATCTCAAGACTCTAAGAAGGGGGATTTGAATTTATAAAGAGAAAGCAGATAAAGGGTTATTGATTTTAGTTATAGAGCTCTTTTTTCCTTAGCAACAATTCCAAAGACTTGGCCAAGGGCTTAACAGATAACTGAGGGAAAGGATTTTTGCTCCCAGAGCAATAAAGAAGGTAATGGGCACCAACCTTCTTTTATTAGAAAGTGGCTTGTCCTTGTGAAGCGCTGTGAAAGGAGCAAGTTGACCCAGTCGAAGTTCCCTCTGACCCCACTCTGCCCAGGAGGTTTGACGCAGGGACCCCCTAACAAGCTTTACAGCAGCTTGCATCAACATGGCAGAACACCCTGGAACTAATGATTACCACCACCTAGCAGGAAACACAGAGATGTGGTGTCAGATGGGGACAGACATTATATACCCACCCAAACTGCACTCTTGATTTCGGGGAGGGGAGCAATGTTTGCACTCCTTTTAGGGTTCCATCTAAATTAAGATCCTCTTAACTGATAGTAACCCTATTTTAACACTGTGCTGCAACTGTAACAGACAATGTTCTTTGTCCTGGCTATGGAAAAAAGGTGCATAACTGGAGCTAAATGTCAAATGCAGGTCAATCAACAGGTAAAAACGATCACAATATTCTATAATATGGAAGACAGAATGTGAGGCAGTGTTTTTGAAGCCCCTAAAGTGTGATTTCTCTCATGTCAATGAAAAGCATATAAAATATGAAGAAAATGCTACTATCAAATGCAAGCTCTACCTAAAAGCAAGCCACCACATAGACAGATGTGGTAGTGTGTGTGTCTATAGTCCCAGCTATTTGGAAAGCTGAGGAACTAGGCTCATTTGAGCCCAGAACAACCTAGACAAAACACAGCAGTGAAACCCCATTAAAAAAAAAAAAAGAAAGAAAGAAAGGAAGGAAGGAAGCCACAGAAAACATCTGAGTCAAAGACAAGATGAATTCTAAGAATAAGCAGGAAAAGTGAATTTCAGGAAGGACATTAGATTTCATTGTTTACATATCAGTGAGACCCGAAGGCAATGGGATTATAGGGATAACACTCTACTGTGTTAAAATAAATTTGAGAGGGAATCTCATTTGAGAATGAGTCTTTGGGGCATCTGTTCTCAAAACTTGGGGACAATACCTAGAGTGAAATGGTGCTCACTAAAAATTTCAGACCAAAGAAAATCAAGAAATAGAAGGGAATGTTAATCACAATTATTTTAGCCTATGGTCACCAGAGGGGCATACAACATACAATATCAACAACAAATTCTTTTAGACAATGTGAGACAGTACAGCAGTCAGTACAGACTTGATATGAACTTCATTTTAGATCTCTGCCTCGGTGCTATAGATCAGTACCAAAACACACATTAGGAAGGAAAACTTTAGCATGCATTTAATAGCCTAGCACCTCAGTTCACTCACTGGGGAAAAATGAACATTTCTACTTACTTTACAATGTTATTACTGAGATCAGACAGAACACTTTTACAGATCTAATATGGTGCCAGCACATAAAAATTGCTCAAAAAAAGTGTAGCTGTGTTGGGCACGGTGGTTCACGCCTGTGATCCCAACAGCTAGCCTAAGACATGAGGATCACAAGTTCAAAGCCAGCCTCAGCGAAAGCGAGGTGCTAAGCAACTCAGTGAGACCCTGTCTCTAAATAAAATACAAAACAGGGCTGGGGATGTGGCTCAGTGGCCGAGTGCTCCTGAGTTCAATCCCTGGAACCTTCCCCCCAAAAGTGTAGCTGTATTTAAGAAAAGACTAGAAAAATTGACTAGTTATCTCAGTTTACTTTAAAATAGCACTGTTGCTAAGCATCTTGCTTTTAAAGCATCTATGATTTACAATCCTAAAATTCAAATACTAATGTAACGTATCAAAATGCATCCAATTTTCCCTAAGGCCTAAGAGCATGTCCTAAACACTGACAGAAATCCATAAATCGCTACAATGAAGGACAACATACAGGGTGCTACCAATCATAAATTTAGACATTTGCCTTCTAGCTTTTCAAATATACACCAAAGCATAAAAATAGAGACAGAAGGGAAAAGAATCAATTCTTACTCATTTTAGAATTGTCTTCAATAATTCCCAGGGTTCAGCAAGAGGATTAAGTGCTAATGCACCAAAGCACGACAGTTTGCAGTATTTAACCTCCATCCTCTGCCTCTGGAGTGGTTCCGAGAACCATTCAAATCATTGCCTGTGTTTTGTGGTTCAAATGGGAAACCCAGGTTGAGAGGGAATGTAGTTATTCAGAGGAAATAAGACACAGCCAGTTAAAGGGTGGCTAATCTTGATCTATGCTCACCTACACACTTCAAAGATTTGGGTGGTTAACAAAGAAACACCCAACAGACTAAGGGCAGCTTGGTGTATTAGCTGGATAAGTTGGTCTCCACTGCTGGACACTGATCACTCACTCATTTCTAATAGATACTCTGAATAACCCAGATGGGTAGGTGCACGACAGTTTTAGAACTGACCCCTTTTCATACACGAGGTGCAGTATAACCCTGGTGGGGAAAAAAAAATTCTAAGGTTTTTATAAAAAGCTAAGGTATTCAGTATTTCTCCAATCTCCTCATTAAGAAGTGGCTCCATAATAAAAATAAAGCAGTTGACAGAGTGGGGAGAGAAGGAAGTTTCACTTTTTCTTTCTGTCTCCTCTAGGTTCTCGAGCGGGTTTCTCCTTCGCATTCTCCTGCAGTAAAATGGGGGACCCCTCCAGTGCCCTGCGGAGACCCCGGGGCATCCCGGGGGACGTAGTTTCCAGGGCGCAGAGGCTGGGACCCAACATGTGCGTACCCGCGAGGGCAGGAGCCCGGCAATAGAACACTTGGCGGGGAGCCTGAAGGCACTTCGCACCCTGGATTCTGCGACCTCAAAGCTTAACGACCCACAGCCACACTTACTTTTTGCTCAGTTTCGGCTCGCCGTCCACTTTCACCTGAGCCCCTTCCACCGTAGCCATCTTCCCTTGAGGGCCCGACTCAAAAGTGACGAGGGGGTACACGACAATTTCCGGGTCAGGGGCCGGAGCTCCGCCTCTTCCGGGAAAAGGGGCGTGGTCTCTTGGCACGCCAGGGGGGGCCGCGCAGGCGCAGAGCTTGGTTTCAGATGTGAGGTGTGTGCTAAAGAGCTAGTTAGCGGGCAGCTCTTGTGGTTCAAGGCAAGGGACATGGCGGAGGCTATGGAATCGGGCAAGGACCCCAACGGGCCCACCCACTCCTCCACTCTGTTTGTGAGGGAGGACGGCAGCCCCTTGTCGTTCTACGTGCGGCCCAGCCCGGCCAAGCGCCGGCTGTCGACGCTGATCCTGCATGGCGGCGGCACTGTGTGCCGGGTGCAGGAGCCCGGGGCCGTGCTGCTGGCCCAGCCCGGGGAGGCGCTGGCCGAGGCCTCGGGAGACTTCATTTCCACGCAGTACATCTTGGACTGCGTGGAGCGCAACCAGAGGCTCGAGCTGGAGGCCTACCGGCTGGGCCCCGGCGCAGCGGCAGACCAGGCCCCGGAGTCCAAAGCCGGGGCTTCCGCTGAGGGCGCCGCGGAGCCCGAGCCGCAGCCGCTCACGGGGCGGATCGCCTTCACAGACGCGGACGACGTGGCTATCTTGACCTACGTGAAGGAAAACGCCCGCTCGCCCAGCTCGGTCACGGGCAACGCCCTGTGGAAGGCGATGGAGAAGAGCTCGCTCACGCAGCACTCGTGGCAGTCCCTCAAGGACCGCTACCTGAAGCACCTGCGGGGCCAGGAGCACAAGTACCTGTTGGGGGACGCCCCAGTGAGCCCCTCCTCCCAGAAGCTCAAGCGCAAGGCCGAGCAGGACCCGGAGGCCGCGGATAGCGGGGGTGAGGCCGCGCGGGGTGGGCTGTCAAGGTCCAGCCTGGCATCGCTCGTGCCTCGCCTCCTTGCCATCCGGTAGAATTGCCCAAGCTCTGGACGCTCTCCCTCGCTCTCTCGCTTTAATGTACCTTCCCAACGACTAGATTTCGGTGTTTTGTTTTGAGACAGGGTCTCGTAGTGCTGCCCGGGTCGGCCTCAAGCTCCAACCTCCTGCCTCAGCCTCCCAAGGAGCTGGGGTTCGGGCATCCTTCACTGCACCCGGCCGGCGGACGTCCAGTTTATTAACATGTTTTGTATTCAAAGTTTCAAAATGGAAAATTGCAAATTCACCCCTCCTACCCACTATTCCTTCCCAAAGACAACAGGGTAACCGGCTTCTTGAAATTTTCAGAGATTTAAAAAGACTCGTTTAAAAAAAAAAAGTTCCTCCTACGTTCTGGCAGATTCAGTATAAATAATTTTAAAGGCACGCCAAATCTGTTTACTTTCGTGCTTTGGCTTTATTGAGTACGTATTTACATAAGAAGGTTCTCCTTAGTTGGGTCTCCTCCTGGTCTTGCTTATGTGATTTTTTTTTTAAAACTCACTTGAATTGCAAATTGGAATTCAGGTATGGTAAAACACATCCCAAACCTATTAAGATGTTTTACTTTTCATATAACTGGTATTGGCAACTTCAGTGACAGACCCTTTTGTTTAAAGAGGCATGCTTCCACCATCCCCCATTTCTTTGCTTATGTGGCTGTTCCATCTAACAGTTGAAGTCCGAGGAGGAAAAAAAATCTATTTCTCCTGTTCAGCATGCTTGGTAGGAATTTTGTTTTTGGTAAAAGTGACATTTCAGATTCATTGACTCAACAGATGTTTGAGTGCCAGACACTGTTGTCCTGCTGGGATATAACAATAAATAAAAGTCCCTGTGGTCATGGAGCTTAACATGCTAGCCGGGCATGTTATAAGTGCTATAGAGAAAAAATAAATCAGGGATGGGGAGGAGGTCATTTTCTATAGTGATAAGAGAAAGCCACTGATAAATGGATGGTTGAGCAGAAATCAAAGGAAGTTACAAGGCAACCCAGGAGACTATCTGGGGAAGAGTGTTTCAGGTAAAGGGAATAGCAAAAGGAAAGGGCACCAAGGTGGGAGTGCAGCTGGTGTGTTCTTAGAGCCACAAAGAGAATAGTATGACTGAAATGGAATGAGAAAGAATCCCAGTAGATGAAGTTAGGGCTTTTAAATAAGTGATTTTGGAACTGTTGGCAAGCTATTAGGAACATGGACAAAAATAAACTGTTATTTTTGTCCATGTTCCTAATAGCTTGCCAAAAATAATCAAAAATAATGTTTTGATGATCATATATTTAAATGTAAAAATTAAAATCCTAAAATGACTAAGAAAAAATATGGATGAATGTCCCTTTTAATATTAGCCTCGGTGGCGCTCACCTGTGATCCCAGAGGCTCAGAAGGCTGAAACAGGAGGATCATGAGTTCAAAGCCAGCCTCAGCAATGGCCAGGCGCTAAGCAACTGAGTGAGACCCTGTCTCTAAATACAAAATAGGACAGGGAGTGTGGCTCAGTGATTGAAGGCCCCTGAGTTCAATCCCCAGTACCCACCCACCCCCAAATTAACATGGTGGTAGTCAAGAAACCAAAGAGACTAAGAAGTATTTTACAAATTTTATTACTTAAAAATTAAAAACTACTGGCAGGCACAGTGATACATGCCTATAATCTCAGTGGTTTGGGAGGCTGAGGCAGGAGGATCGCGGGTTCAAAGCCAGTTTTAGCAACTTAGTGGGGCCCTACACAACTCAGTGAGACCCTGTCTCTAAATAAAATACAAAATAGGGCTGGGGATATGGCTTACTGGCTAAATGTTCCTGAGTTCAATCCGTGGTACCTGCCCACCCCCACCCCCCAAAAAAATGGTTGGGGATGTGGCTCAGTAGTAAAGCACCCCTGGGTTAAATTCCCAGTACCCCCTTACCCCCCAAAAAAAGAAGAAAAAAATGGGGAATGGATATATAATAATATGCATTTAAAAATGTTATTATGATAAAAGATGTGTAACATAAATTTTCCATTTTAAGGGTTTAAGTTTTTGGTTTGGTGGCCTTAAATACATTCATATGTGCAACCATCGCTACCATCTTTTTCCAAAACTGAAACTCTGTATCTGGCTTATTACTCTTAGCTTAATATCTTCAACATTCATTCATATTGTAGTGCAGAATTTAATTCTGTTTTAAGACTGAATGATTTTATGTTGAATAATATTATGTACCACATTTGTTTCCATTGTTTGTCTATTGTGAATAATGCTGCTATGAACATGGGTATCTGAGGCCCTGCTTTCAATTCTTTCAGGCATATAACCAGAAATACAGTTGCTAGACATGGTGATTTTTATGTTTAATTTTTTTGAGGAACTGTTTTCTAGTTATATTTGTTTTAACACACGTTTAAATCGTGTAAACACCACCAAAATCAGGATGCAGAACAGTTTTGTTGCAAAAAAAAACCCTCTCTTTTGCTATTTTATTTCTTTCCCCTTTTTTTTTTTTTTTTGATTCATTGTACACAAATAGATCCTTTTGCTATTTTCTTGGCATAAATTTTTGTCAAGTGTAGCAGGAGCAGAGTTAAATTCTCAAAGAACAAAATGTAAAAGGGAAACAAGAGGATGTTTAAAGTTAGAAGGGCCTTCTTTTTACAGATGATACGTAGTGGATTGGGGTAAACCACCCAGGTCTGTCTTTAGTGGCTGGAAGAGTTGCCTCTCCCAAAGTCTCTCGTAGGTATCCAGTGACTGACTGATGTGGAATTATAAAGGCTCTGTTCTTTACCCCAACCACAGTCAACTCTGAAAGGCCTTCCTGGCTCTGGATTTGACTAAAGCCTCCTTGAAATGCTTTTCCAATTCAACTACTCTTCCTGCCCATTCCTGCTTTTCTTCTTTTCCTCAAGTATTTTCCCAAGAGCACTCCCTGGTAAACTCTTTAATGTTAATCTCTGTCTCAGATTTGCTACTCAGAGAACTCCCCACCTGTTTTGTTCTTTTGTTTTGTTTTTGTTTTGTGGTAGTACTGGGGATTGAACTCAGAGCCTTGCCTCGCACATGCTAGTCCAGGATTCTAGCACTGAGCTACCGAACTACATTACAAGCTCTACTAAAATTTTATTCACTAAGTTGCCCAGATTGGCCTCAGAGAACCCAACTTTTGAAGTGGTTTGTTGATTTGCATTTGTAAATACAAAACAAAAAATAAATGAACCTGGAAGAATATTTTTGTATGTCAGAGCCTAGGAATATTACCATCATTGGAATAGTACAGTGTTTTGGAAACAAGCATAGAGATTATTGGACATGCATGTCTTATCTTTTTTAACCTTTCTGAATAAAAAAACATATCTTCTAATAGAGAGTACAGGCTCACTCCTGACCCAAAGCTCACATGGCACGCACTGTACTTTTGGTTTATGTAAAAAAGGCTAATGTTAATCTTTGTTGTTATTTTCTTTGATAGAACCACAGAATAAGAGAACTCCAGACTTGCCAGAAGAAGAATATGTGAAGGAAGAAATCAAGGGGAATGAAGAAGCAGTCAAAAAGATGCTCGCAGAAGCCACCCGGGATTTTGGGGAAGTTGTGGTATGTTAAATAGATTTATTTGTCGTTGTTGTCGTCCACCCCCCTCACCCCACCCCTGCCCTTCTGATTTGAAGTTGATTACCTCTCTACCATCCTCCTTAGGCCCAAGAAGGTAAAAGAGAAATTCAAGATAAAAGAAAAGGGAAAGTGGGACTGATTTAGGCTTTGCTTCATAAAACTTTATTTTTTGTTAGAATATGGTGATGTGGAGAAAAAGAGAAATTAAGCACGATAGGGAGTTATTTTTAAACAATATAAAACATCCCACTTTGGGACTAGGGTTGTAGCTCAGTGGCAGAGTGCTTGCCTCCAACTCGTGAGGCCCTGGGTTCGATCCTCAGCACCACATAAAAATAAATAAATAGGGGCTGGGGATGTGGCTCAAGCGGTAGCGCGCTTGCCTGGCATGCATGCGGCCCAGGTTCGATTCTCAGCACCACATACAAACAAAGATGTTGTATCCGCCAATAACTAAAAAATAAAAATAAATATCAAAAATTCTCTCTCTCTTTCTTAAAAAAAAAAAAAAAACCTTGAAATAAATAAATAAAAATAAAGATACTGTGCCCATCTACAACTAAAAAAAAAAAAAATGTTAAAAACAAAGAAAAAAGCCAGCCTCAGCAAAAGTGAGGTACTAAGCAACTCAGTGAGACCTTTCTCTAAATAAAATATAAAATAGGTCTAGGGATGTGGCTCAGTGGTCGAGTGCCCCTGAGTTCGATTCTCAGTACCTCCCATCCAAAAAAAAATCCCACTTTGATCTCAGCATAAGTTTTTAAAGTCAGAACTGTGGATTTGCCTTTTTTTTTTTTCTTTGTTTAAAAGCCTTTATTTCACTTATTTTTTTTATGTGGTGCTGAGGATCGAACTCAGGGTCTCGCACTTAGGGTCTCGCACTTGTGAGGCAAGCACTCTACTGTTGAGCCACAACCCTAGGCCCTGGATTTGTCTTTTAAAAATGTTTTTTTATGGGGCTGGGGCTGTAGCTCAGTGGTAAAGTGCATGCCTCGCATGTGTGAGGCACTGGGTTCAATCCTCAGGAATTTTTATGTGGTCATAAAAATAAATAAATATATTGTGTGTTCATTTACAACTGAAAAAAAAAATTTAAAAAGTATTTTTTATGTTTCTCAGGAGCATAAATGTAATTCCAAAGAAGGTTTCCTTGAGACAGTCTTGCTCAGTTGCACAGGCTAGCCTTGAACTTGTGATCCTCCTGCCTCAGTTTCCTAAATAGCTGGGATTAAAGATGTGTGCCATGGTAATTGGTTTAATCAGGCAAATTTAGTTTTTTTGTGTTCTTAGAATGGGGGATATTTTACTCTTCAGTCTACCTTCTAATATGTGTTGGAATCCCATATTTAATAATAGTTGTTGATAAAAGCAGGAACCATAACATAATGATGATAAATAATATTTTAAGAAATCCAAATCATAGCTGGCTGCAGTGGTATATGCCTGTAATCTCAGTGACTTGGGAGACTAAGGCAGGAGGATCTCAAGTTTGAGACCAGCCTCAGCAACTTAGCAAGATCCTAAACAACTCAGTGAGACCCTGTCTCAAAATGAAAAATAAAGGGGCGGGGAATATGGCTTAGTTGCTAAGTGTCCCTTGTTATCCTCAATAACAAAAAAAAGAAAAAAGAGAGAAAATCATTTCTGTATTTTGTCCAAGGAAAAAGATGTCATGCATTAACTTATTAACATAAGGGAAACCAGTGATGATTCATTTTAAAAGAGAGCAATAATTTAAAGTTTCCATAGCTGATGAGTGGTAGAATAGGTGATGAATGGGGGAATTTAGGGAATATTGCTTTTTTTTTTGAGACAAAGTCTCACTAAGTTACTTAGGGCATTGCTAACTTACAGACTGGCTTTGAACTTGTAATCCTCCTGTCTCAGCCTCCTGAGTTGCTGGGATTATAGGTGTATGTCACTGTGCTTTATCTCAGTTTAATTTCTAATCTGTTGAAATAGCATAGTCAGTTTTACATATGCACATATGTGCACACACACATCCCCAGACTTTCACATATACACATATTATAAACATACACATATATTCACAAAATATTGTGAATAAATGTAAGAAGTAACATGGCATATTAGAGGAACTGAAGGGAATCCAGTATGGTTGTAGTGTAGGAGAAAGTGGGTGGTAGTTGGGAGAGATGAGGTATTGTAAGAGTTTGAGATTTGGTAATTCAGAACTGGTCTTACTCATTCTCTGTAGGTGGATGAGAGTCCTGATTTTGAAATCCATATAACGATGTGTGATGATGATCCCCCTACACCGGAGGAAGACTCAGAAACACAGCCTGAGGAGGAGGAAGAAGAAGAAAAGGTCTCTACACCAGAGGTGGGAGCTGCCATTAAGGTCATTCGGCAGTTAATGGAAAAGTTTAACTTGGATCTCTCAACCGTAACACAGGCCTTTCTAAAAAATAGTGGTGAGCTGGAGGCTACTTCCTACTTTTTAGAGGCTGGTCAGAGAGCTGATGGATACCCCATTTGGTCCCGACAGGATGACTTGGATTTGCAAAAAGATGATGAAGATACCAGAAATGCATTGGTCAAAAAATTTGGTGCTCAGAATGTAGCTCGGAGGATTGAATTCCGAAAGAAATAATTGGCAATATAATGAGAAAAGAAAATAGGTGGTTCAGATAAGTCTATTAAAAAGTTGTGATCATTGAACTTCAGAGAGTTCTTACTATAAAATTGACTCTTCTGACCAATGCTGCTGCTGTTCTGTGAGGCCTGATTTTGTAGCTAAGCAGAGTTGTGTAGGAAGATAAAAACAAAAGAAATTGGATCTATTTAGAACTGTCCCTGGCAAATATCAAGGAAAATCTAAATCAGAGAGGTTGGTCTATGTAGTAGTAATCCTTTGCTGGAATGGAACCTCTGCTGTATTGGTGATGAGCCTAGCGACAAAGTTAAAGGAGGAAAATTAGGCATACAGGTATTTTCTTTCGTGCAGCCCAAGTGAAGAGCCTCTTATCCTTTGGCAGAAGTTTCTCTGGATTATGATAGATTCCAAATCAAGAATCTAGAATATGGGGGGCTGGGGTTGTAGCCCAGTGGTAGAGAGCTTGCCTAGTGTGTCTGAGACACTAGGCTCAATCCTCAGCACTACATAAAATTAATAAGTAAAACAAATGTATTGTGTCCATCTACAACTAAAAAAAAAATTTTTGTGTGGTGCTTGGGATTGAACCCAGGGCCTTTTGCATGCAAGGCAAGCACTCTACCAACTGAGATTTATCCCCAGCCCTAAAAAAATAAATTTTAAAAAATTAAAAAAAAAATCTAGAATATGGGAAGATTTAATTTCACAACTTTGAACATGGACTTTCCCAAAGGGAAATCATTCCCTCCTCACAGTGAGTTTGATTTCTGGCCTGCTTTGAAAAGCCCATATTTGCTTTGCTAACTTGATATTTGGGGACCATGCTCCTTCTCAGTTAAATCTCTAGTATGTGTTCCTTTACCTTCCACTCAGTTTTGTTTGAAACACAGACAAACCCTAGAATATCAAGAACTACTTACTCAGAGCTGGGGTTGTTGCTTAGTCATAGAGTGCTTGCCTGGCATGTGTGAAGCACTGAGTTCAATTCTCAGCATCACATAAAAAAAAAAATAATAAAAGTATTGTGTCCATCTACAACTAAAAAATATTTTTAAAAGAGAACTACTTACTCTGTTAATAGTAATGTTTTTTTGATTTAATGAGCATAGTTTTATGCTAAAGATTGTGTTAGACTGAAAAATTAGTAAATTGGTTCTACTTTGTTGAAAATAAATTCATTATTGAAAATAAATATAACTTTGTATTTGGATCTTATAAAAAATGTTGTCTTTGATTGTATATGTGAAACCTTTTAGTTATAAAAAATCATAAAAGAGGGGCTGGGGTTGTGGCTCGGTGGTAGAGCGCTCGCCTAGCACATGCGAGGCCCTGGGTTCGATCCTCAGCACCACATAGAAATAAATAAAATAAAGGTATTGTGTCCATCTACAACTAAAAGATAAATATTAAAAAAAAACATAAAGGAACTAACATTTTGGCTATTGGTGATTTGAACCAATAAATTCCATTTTAGAACTAATAGACCATTAGAAGTTGCTGCTGCTTCTGGTGGAACAAAGAAAAGATTGATCTGCATCACGACTATGAGAAATGGCAAAAAAAAAATGGTGAGAGCCAAAGGGGAGAGAAGCCAGTTAGGAATCCCCCAGAGGGACAATACCCAGTTCCAGCAGCTCCTTTAGAACCTCAAGAGTAAAGTGACCTGTATGTCGGATCTGCTGGGACTATGTCACCAAACTGCTGATGTGTGATGGCACACTCCTGTAATCCCAGTGGCTCCAGAGACTGAGGCAGGAAGATTACAAGTTCAAAGCCAGCCTCAGCAAAAGTGAGGTGCTAAGCAACTCAGTGAGACCCTGTCTCTTATAAATAAAATACAACAAAATTGGGCTGGGGATATAGCTCAGTGACCTAGTTCCCCTGAGTTGAATCCCTGATATCCACCCCCCGCAAAAAAAAAAAAAAAAAAAAAAAAAAAAGTATGAATTCCAAGTGTCCAGCCACAAAGAATGATTGTGGTGGGAAGTAGGCACTTTGTTGCAGAAGCATCCTAATGCAGAAAGTCATCAATAAATAAGCTCGTTCAGTTCTTGATCTCACTGGTGCAGATGAACTGGACCCAGGGGTTACAGAAAAGGTATTCCTGATGTTAAGCTATAGTAGCCTGGCACATTCCTGGCTGGAAGTACTCCTTGGAGTGTGTCTGTGCCTGGACCTGCACTTGCTCCATCCCCTGCCTACAGTGGCTCTAGCCTCTACACTCCAGACAGTGTTGAAGCTCTGACATAACTGAGCTGTCTCCTGCCAGCCTTTGATTTAAAACTGATCTAAAAAGTTGATTTTTTCTTAAGAATATGTTCATTACATCTAGATTTTCAAATTATTACCATAAAATTGCTCCAAATATCTTCATTCCTAGAGCACATGTGGCAATGAACTATTTTGGGTTTTTTTTTTTTTTGTTCTGTTTTGGTTTTTTTGGTACTGGGAATTGAACTCAGGGGCACTCAACCACTGAGCCAAATTCCCAGCCCTATTTTGTATTTTATTTAGAGACAGGGTTTCATTGAGTTGCTTAGTGCTACTCTTTTGCATAGGCTGGCTTTGAACTCTCGATCCTCCTGCCTCAGCCTCTCAAGCTACTGGGATTATAGGTATGCACCATCACGCCTGGCTATTTTCAGGTTATATATTTGTACTTGCTATGTGTTTTCTGTAAAGCCCCAACCAAACCATGGGATATGTGGTTGGGACAAAAGCAGCAGATGGGCAGGCTTGGAGAACCCTCATCTTCACTGGAGATACTGCCCAACCTCAGCCTCCACTTTTTGCCCCACTGGAGCTATTAGCCAACTAAGCTGTTAGCCAACTCAGGACTTTGTGTCTGTCCTGCTGTGAAAGAGTCCTTGATGGGGAAATTGCTTTAGATTTTTACACCTGCTATTCTTTTCAGAAAACTCTTGCTACCTTTGAGCTGCTTTTTCAGGCCACTGGAAACTATACGGCTTTAACATATGTGGAGGCTGTTTCTCGATCTGAAGAAAACAAAACCTTGAAGATAGTTTTTCATTATTTATTTATTTGTTTATTTATTTATCTTTATTGATTAAAAAAATGACAGTGGAATGCATTACAATTCTTATTACACGTATATGCCACAGTTTTTCATATATCTATTTGTGTATAAAGTCTCTTGACACCCAATTGGTGTCTTCATACATGTACTTTGGATAATGATGTCTATCACATTCCACCATCCTTGCTAACCCCCTGCCCCCTTCATTTCCCTCCCACCCCTCTTCCCTATCTAGAATTCATCTATTCCTCCCATGCTCCCCCTCCCTACTCCACTGAGTCAGCCTCCTTGTATCAGAGAAAACATTCGGCATTTGTTTTTTTGGGATTGGCTAACATCACTTAGCATTATATTCTCCAACGACATCCATTTTCCTGCAGATGCCATGATTTTATTCTCTTTTATTGCTGAGTAAAATTCTATTGTGTATATATGCCGTGTTTTTTTATCCATTCATTCACTGAAGGGCATCTAGGTTGGTTCCACTGTTTAGCTATTGTGAATTGTGCTGCTGTGAACATTGATGTGCCTGTGACCCTGTAGTATGCTCTTTTTAAGTCCTTTGGGTATAGTCCGAGGAGAGGGATAGCTGGGTCAAATGGTGGTTCCATTCCCAGATTTCCAAGGAATCTCCATACTGCTTTCCATATTGGTTGCACCATTTGTAGTCCCACCAGCAACGTATGGGTGTGCCTTTTTCCCCACATTCTCGCCAACATTTATTATTGTTTGTATTCATAATAGCTGCCATTCTGACTGGAGTGACATGGTATCTTAGTTTTGATTTGCATTTCTCTAATTGCTAGAGATGATGAGCATTTTTTCATAATTTGTTGATTGATTGTATATCCTCTTCTGAGAAGTGTCTGTTGAGGTCCTTGGCCCATTTGTTGATTGGGTTATTTGTTTTTTTGGTGCTTAGCTTTTTGAGTTCTTTATATACCCTAGAGGTGAGTGCTCTATTTGATGTGTGAGGAGTGAAAATTGGCTCCCAGGATGTAGGCTCTCTCTTCACCTCACAGCTTGTTCCTTTTGCCGAGAAGAAACTTTTTAGTTTGATTCCATTTCATTTATTGATTCTTGGTTTTAATTCTTGCACTATAGGAGTCTTACTAAGGAAGTTGGGGCCTAATCCCACATTATGAAGATTAGGGCCTACTTTTTCTTCTATTAGATGCAGAGTCTCTGGTTTAATTCCTAGGTCCTTGATCCATTTTGAGTTGAGTTTTGTGCATGGTGAGAGATAGGGGTTTAATTTCATTTTGTTGCATATGGATTTCCAGTTTTCCCAGCACCATTTGTTGAAGATGCTATCTTTTCTCCAGTGCATGTTTTTGGCACCTTTGTCTAATATAATTGTAATTTTGTGGATTGGTCTCTGTGTCCTCTATTTTGTACCATTGGTCTACCAGTCTGTTTTGGTGCCAATCCCATGCTGTTTTTATTACTGTTGCTCTATAGTATAGTTTAAGGTCTGATATAGTGATGCCACCAGCTTCACTCTTCCTGCTAAGGATTGCTTTAGCTATTCTGGGTCTCTTATTTTTCCAGATGAATTTCATGATTGCTTTTTCTATTTCTATGAGGAATGTCATTGGGATTTTGATCAGAATTACATTAAATCTGTATAGGGCTTTCTTTTCTATACATATCCCTTTAATTTCTTTTGTCTGTCTAATTGCTCTGGCCAGTGTTTCAAGAACTGTGTTGAATAGAAGTGGTGAAAGAGGGCATCCCTGTCTTGTTCCAGTTTTTAGAGGGAATGCCTTTAATTTTTCTCCATTTAGAATGATGTTGGCCTGAGGCTTAGCGTAGATAGCCTTTATGATGTTGAGATATGTTCCTGTTATATCTAGTTTTTCTAGGGTTTTGAACATAAAGGGGTGCTGTATTTTTGTCAAATGCTTTTTCTGCATCTATTGAGATGATCATATGATTCTTGTCTATAAGTCTATTGATGTGATGAATTACATTTATTGATTTCCATATGTTGAACCAACCTTGCATCTCTGGGATGAAACCTACTTGATCGTGGTGGTGATTTTTTTGATATGTTTTTGTATTCGATTTGCCAGATAAAATTGAGAAATTTTGCGTCTATGTTCATTAGAGACTTGGTCTGAGGTTTTCTTTCTTTCGTCTGGCTGGGCACAATTCAGGAGCCACTTGTCAAAAGAAACGAACTTTATTTTTAGAATACACACACCGCACCACACAGCTCTTCAGGAAAAACCCTCAGAGCCCAACTGCCACCACCGGCTTCCCACAAGTCTCTCCACCTCCCCCACTCCTCCTGCTCTTGAGGCTGATTGGCTGGATCGCATGGGCAGAGCCAAAAAAGTTCCCCAATGAGCAGCTCCGTGGTCTGAAAGGGTGGGGAAACAGCCCAATGAGCATCACCGCAGAGGAGCCAATCAGTTGGCAGCTAGAAGTTTGCTGGGGCTGCTGTGAGCCAATCATCAGCTGGCAGCTGGAAGTTTGCTGGGGCCTCTTCGGCTGTGGCTCTCAACATTCTTTGATGTGTCTTTGCTGGTTTTTGGGATCAGGGTGATATTGGCCTCATAGAATGAGTTTGGAAGTGCTGCCTCTTTTTCTATTTCCTGAAATAAATTGAACAGTATTGGTATTAGTTCTTCTTTAAAGGTCTTGTAGAACTTGGCTGAGTATCCATTCAGTCCTGTGCTTTTCTTGGTTGATAAGCTTCTGAAGGCATCTTCTATTTCATCACTTGATATTGGTCTGTTTAAATTGTGTATATCTTCCTGATTCAATATGGACAAATCATATGACTTAAGAAATTTGTCTATGCCTGAAGACAGATTTTTAAAAATTTCTATTTTATTTTTTACATGGATACTTCTGGAGAGGCCTTGGCCATGACCTGGACCTGCCATGTGGGTGACTGTAGGCTGACCTACTTGGCACTACTTCTTGGATCTTGATCCTTGAGGTGAGATCTTGTAGACTCTTTATCCCAGAGCTGCTGCATTTGAGCTCTGGGTTGCTCTAAAGTCTTGTGCTTCATACATTGTCGTGACCCCCTCGCCAGCAAGGAAGACACGACACAGGATTCTTCTTTCAGCGGTTTATTCAGGCCTTAACTCTAGTCTTCTCTCAAGCGTGCGCTCTTGCCACGCACCCACACACAGCCTAATAAAGCTTACTCAAGTCCAATCAAAAGCTGCCACGTGGGGTTTTCTCATAGGGTATTGAGGGACACGCGCCAACTCTTCCTAATAAGGAGTTGTTTACCAAGATCCACAACGGAGACCGGCGCCATCTTCTAATGGCGGCAACGGTCTACAAACACGGCTCACCACAATACCTCGCCCCAGAGATGGTAATGGTGAGCTGCAAACCATCTGGCTGCAGCTGAGAGAACAAGGATTTTCCTTGAGTCTGAGGAAACTGACCCTGCAGCTGCAACTGAGGGGAGGGCACTTGGCAGCTGTTGGTGGAATAGCATCTGCTCTTCAGAAGCTCAAGTTGTTGATGCTGTTGCAGGTAATAATTGTAATTTTGTGGGTTTCTGCCATTTCTGCTGCTGATCTTGTGATATTGAATAATGAGAGTGGTCTCCTCTTCCTACTGCCTCACTTCATTATGCTCAATATCAGCCTTATGAAAAAGGGAGAAACTTGGGGCTGGGGTTGTGGCTTAGTGGTAGAGCGCTCACCTAGCACAGGTGAGGCCCTGGGTTTGATCCCCAACACCTCATAAAAAAAATTAATAAAGATATTGTATCCAACTACAACTAAAAAATAAATATTAAAAAAAAAAAGAAGAAGAAAAAGGGAGGAACTTGCATGCTGGCTTTCCTTGGTCTCAGTCCTATCCCTGTCAAAAGCATGCACAGAAGATACATAAGGATGTAGGCAACTGCTCAGCTACATCCTGGAAAAGAACTGTCAAAAGACCCACTTTCTGTGTCATCTCCATACTCCAAAGTACAGCCTGGTTGCTTTCCAGTGCCTGCCACCATGGAGGTGTTGGCACCACCTGTTGACAAGGAAGCCCTTGTGTCTTCAGAGAAAAGCATCTGGAACATAGTTGTTGACCGAGAAGTCCTTGTTCCAAAAGGGAACAGCAACTGGAGCCTACTTAATGGGGACTCTCTTGTGTCTCCTAAGAAGAGCAACTGGGGCACAACTTTGGAATGGGAAGTCCTTGTGTCCACAGAGAAGTACAATCTGAACACATTTTTTGAGTGTGAACCTCTTGTTTATCCAAAGTTGAGCCAATAGTGATGCCTATCTGAGCTGTCTGGGCATAAAAGAAACTGTGCTCGGTGGTATAGCTGGGAGCCATAGCCTGGTTGCTTAAAAGTGGATGAGTTTGGATTTGGTGATTTTGTTGTTTCCACATAGCAAATATTCTTTGCCTGTCTTCAGGTGGAAGTCAGGCTCTGTTATTCTGAAACCAGTTCTAAAAGGAGAAGATAATGTAGTTTTAATCAAATCTACTTATCTGATTATATTCTTCAATGTATTTCCTCAATGTAGGAGAATTTTCTGTTTAAGACTCTTCCGAGCAGAGTATTGGACTTGCATTCTGACTTTTGAGTAAGATGTCTTTCCTGAGGCTACGTGTGTGATTACACAGGTCATGCATTAAGCATTCCTAGAATCAAAACAACCTGCACCTGCACTGGAGAAGTGACCCTATAGTTTACATGCAAACCAAGGCCATCCAGAGTCTCTTCATAAACTCTTTGTTACCCTTTTGCAGGCTTCTTTCCCTTGTTCACAAATTGACCCAGTAGGTACACTCTGCAGAGGAGCCCTCCAACTGTCCCACTTGTGCATGCTTTTGTCCCTAAACCCTGCCCTACCTGAGTGAAATAATGATGTACTTTCTGACACTCCACACTTCTGTTTCTCATATGCTTATAATTCTTACATGCATAAGGTTCAAGGGCCACAAGTAAGGAATTATTTGAATCATTGCCACATATTTACTGTATGACCTTAATCACTTCATTCTGCTTATCTAATCCTGATTTTTCTGCTCCCTAAAGAGGATAGTAAAATGCTTTCCAAATTTTCAGGGTTTTGAGGAAGGGAGAGATAAATAGAATGCTTTTCTTGTACCCAGACTATAAAAGGATGATTTACAGTTGAGACAATAGGATAGTCAGTTGGATAATCTACCTCCATTAACCTCTGATTTTATATTTCCATCTCCTGGGCTACCAAATTCAGAATTGCTTTGGGCTAATCATTGCAGTGAAGCTACAAAGATCTTTGATTTTTTTTTTTTTTAATAAAATTTCACAGTGAATCAGGCACCTGCAGACTCACTCTTATTTTCTCCTCACAACCACACCACAACAGAGAATTAAACATATTTTGGAGAAATCTGAGATACAAGAGTCACAAATTTGTCAGAAATTATAGAGCCAGGGGATGGAGGGAGGGTGCAGATTTCAAGAATCCAACCAAAAAACAAGTGTTCCCTTCTTCCATCATTAGGCCTCCTGCACCCTTCCTTGCCCCTCAGGCTTGCTTCCTGATCACACCTTGGGGTACCTTCTATAAGCACATGCAACCCCATCCAATCCAGTACAATTTAACTGCTAGTCTCCATGAACTTACTCTTATGAGACTGCCCTTTGACAGCCATGGAAAATGATTAAAAGCCACTCTGAGGGCTGGGATTGTAGCTCAGTGGTGGAGCACTTGCCATGCACGAGTGAGGCACCTCAGCATCACATGAAAATAAATAAATAAATAAAGATACTGTGTATTGCGTCCATCTATAACTAAAATTAAAAAAAAAAAAAACCCACTATAGGGCATGGCTGCCCGCTTTCCGGTCTTGGGGCCGCACATGTGGCTGGGATGGCTCCTGGTGATCAGCCAGGAGGCGGTGCTGTGGGTGGTGACGGAGGAGGCAGACCACCTCCAGGATAGGTCCAGGACTCTTCTGCCCTGGTGGACAGCTTGTGCCTTCCCTTATGGACTATGGGATAGGAGTACACGAGAACTTGCTCCACCCCTCTGACCTTTATTCTGATTGGCTCCTGTGCAGTATATAAGCTGTGTGTACTTCCTCAATAAAGGAGATCTTGCTTCCACTGGTTGGCTGGGTGCAGGCCGCCAGTCGACCTTTACCTCTCTTGGCTCATGTTGGTCCAGGTGTGCTTTCCCCGATTCTCCCACCGGTCAGGAGGAGACCGGGGGGGGGGGGGGGGGGGGGGGGGGGGGGGGGGGCTAAAACCCCCGACAACCCACTATTGACATTAAGAAATCCAGTAGTCATGAATTCTAAAATATAAAAATAACACTAAAAATCTGTATTTACGTATTTGATCACTGTTTTGATTTCTTTTGTAGTCATATCATGTTTTTCTAATTCCTTTTGAGAAATCATTGATCATTTGCATTTTTTAAATTTTTTTTTAAGTTGTAGTTGAATACAATACTTTTATTTATTTATTTTTATGTGGGCTGAGGATTGAATCCAGGGCCTTGCATGTGCTAGGTGAGTGCTCTACCACTGAGCCACAACCCCAGCCCCCAGAAATGTTTATTTTTTTTTTCATATTTTTAGTTGTAGATGGACACAATACCTTTATTTTATTTATTTATTTTTATGTGGTGCTGAGGATCCAACCCAATGCCTCACATGTGCTAGGTAAGCACTCTACCACTGAGCCACAACTCCAGCCCAGAAATGTTTTTTTGTTGTTGTTGTTGTTTTTTATAGTTTTTAGAATTCAGCAACAAAGTTATCTACATAATAATTTTCTATATATTTTTTTCTTCCAAACCTGAACTTTAATCCCCTTCTAATTTATATTAATGGGTAGTTTCTTCCAACTTTTAAGCAACCAATAAACCCAGTGATCTAGGCAATATTCCAGAGCGAAGAACAAGGGATATCTTTAGAAATCTGTTTATAAACTACAACAGAATGGTCAATTTTTACAGTAATTAATAACATTTTCTAAACTGATGAGATAATCAGAAAAATTTCCAAAAAATGTTGGCTCATACAGCAAATAGCTAGAAAGTACTTACCACTCTGTGAGGGCATATGGCATGTACCAGGGGTTCTATCAATACATAGCCAATTCTTGAATTTATTTCTCCAGTTAAGTACCCTCCCCTGAACTTCAGACTTACATATCTAGCTGAAAACTTTAGAGTTCCACTGGAATATTTATCTAGCACATAAAACTTCATGTGTCCAAAGTGTGATAGTGATTTTTCTGACACACACATACCTGCTTTTCTCTAGTTCCCCTCCTTAGTAAAAGGCAACGCTCATCTCCAATGGACTCAAGTCAAAACACTGAAGTTGTCTTTAACTCTACCTTATCTTTCACCACTATGTCCAATATGGCAGTCAGCTATTTCAGCTCTACCTCTAAAATGTACTCAGTATCTCAATCCTATAAACCTGCACAGTCAGCATGCTGGCCAAACCACCATCACTACCACTAAAGTAGTATTATTGCAGCATCAACTGCACTCAATCTAGTTTTCACAATACATATCCATTGTATTTTCATACCCATATCAAAATATGACTTTTTTTTCATATGTGATGAAATACTACTATATTGCTTCACAATTATTTACATTTTCCACATAGAGTATATGTATTTTTATTGATCTCTCATATTGTTAATATTTTTAGTTGTAGTTGGATACAATATATTTATTTATTTATTTTTATGTGGTGCTGAGGATTGAACCCAAGGTCTCGCACCGTGCTCTACGCTGAGCCACAACCCCAGCCTGATAACTCCTATTTCTGAACTCTATGCCTTTCTATTCAACCCCTAGCTCCTGCCTCTATCTAGACTTATTGAATTTAACATTCTATTGTGTTTAACTTTCTAGGAAATATGTATTTGAGGTCTTGAACTTACATTAATTACATGCACTGGACAATGGAGTTTTATGGCCAGTTCTTACTGTAAAATCAGGATAAGGAGTCCACATAAATATTTTGTAAAGTTCTTGTACATCTTCCTGAGTAAATTGATTTCGGTGTTTTGTTTTTACACTTTTCTTTGATCTGTTGTTGTTGTTAACATCATCCTTTTCATTTGGGAAACATGATAAAAGCATAAGCAGGAAGAAAAGTTTTAGAGAATACTGATGACAATCAGACTAGCCAGGTGTGGTGGTGCATGCCTGTAATTTCCAAGGTTGAGGCAGGAGGGTCATGAGTTCAAAGTCAACCTCAGCAATTTAGTGAGGCCCAAGGCAACTCAGCGAGACCATGTCTTTAAGTAAAATATTAAAAGTCTGGGGATGTGGCTCAGTGGTTAATTGCCCCTGGGTTTAATCCCTGATACAAAAAAAAAAAAATCAGATCAAAGAAAGACTTCAGAACAGTATTAGGTGTTAACATCATTGACAACCCACTCAAATAAAATCAAGGCCCAGCCTCATAGTCATTCATAATACTACAATCACAAATGAAAGCAGGGATTGACAAATTATGGGCTGTACCCAACCAGTTGCCTGCTTTTAAAAATGAAGCTTTTTTAAAACAGTCATAGGCATTCATGACTGTTTTCATAGTCTATGGCTATTTCAAGCTACAGTAGCAGAATTGAGTAATAGAGGCTCAAGTTTGGCTATGATCTACATAGCTTAAAATATTTATTGTCTCAAAGAATTTACCTTTAAAACGAGGTATTCTCTCTGTAGGAGAATACAACTCCATCACTATACTAGAATCAATCATGTTTCATTTAATGAAAGGGATATCTTCTGAGAAAAACACCATTAGGTGATTTTGTCATATGAACACCTGTTTTAGTCAACGTTTTTGCTGCTGGGACTAAAAGACCTGACGAGAATAATTTTAGAGAAGGAAAAGTTTATTCAAGGACTCATGGGTCAGAAGTCTCAGTCCATAGACAGCTGGCTCCAGAATATCATGGCGGAAGAGTGTATCAGAGGGAAGCAGAGAAACTCCACTTGCCAGATACAAAACGTATACCCAAAGGCATGCCCCCAGTGACCCACCTCCTCCAGCCACATCCTACTGCCTTCAGTCACCACTCACTTAATCCCATCAAAAGATTAATCCACCGATTGGATTAAGGCACTCATAACCTAATCATTTCTCTTCTGAACCTTCTTTCATTGTCTCATACATGAGTCTTTGGGGAACACCTCACATCTAAACCATAACACTGTAGAGTGCACTCACACAAACTTAGATGTATAACCTATCACATACCTAGTCTATGACATATCCTTTTACTGAGCTACAAACCTGTGTAGCATATTATTGTACTGAATACTAAAGGCAGTTGTAACACAATGGTAATTATGTATAAACATATCTAAACATGGAAAAGGTACAGTAAAAAAATATATAGCATAAAAAATAAATAAGTGTGCCAAACATGAATGGAGCTTGCAGGACTGTAAGTTGCTCTGGGTAAGTCAGTGAGTGAGTGGTGACTGGATCTGAAGGCCCAGGACGTGATTGTGCACTATTGCAGACTAACACTGTACTCTTAGGCTACACTGCATTTATAAAAAATTCTTTCTTCAATGATAAAATTAACCCTAACTTATTAGAATATTCTTAACTTGCAAACTTTTTTAAAATTTTTGACCCTTTGTAATAACACTTAGCTGAGAACACACAAACATCTTCTCTTTTTTATATTCTTATTCTATACGATTTTTTTCTAATTTTATTTATTTATTTTTTGGTTCCATAGATTGAACCCATTGGGCTACATCCCCAGCCCTTTTTATCTTTTAGACAAGGTCTTGATAAGTTGTTTAGGGCCTCACTAAATTGCTGAGGCTGGCTTTGAACTTGTGAGTCTCCTGTTTCAGCCCTCTGTGCAGCTGGGATTATAGATGCCTGGCAAGACAATGTCTCACTATGTTGCCCAAGTAGACCCTAACTTCCCAGCTCAAATGGTCTTTCTCCCTCAATAGCTGGGATTACAGGCATATGTTGCCACGCCCAGCTCAAAAGGTTTATCTTTAAAGCTTTAACTCTTACTCAATCTGTAATCTCCCTCACTTTCCTGACATAGTTCTTCCATTATTGCCCACTAATTTAGCACTGTCCAGTGATACTGGCCTCCTTGCTTTACTTGAACACCCCAGGGCACCTTCCACAAGGTATTTCTACCAGGTTCTTGTCTTTTTTCCTCCCACAATATCTGTTGCTCACTCCCTCCCCTCCCAGCCTTTGCTCAAAACTCACTTTCTCAGGAATTCTACCTAACTAACCTGTATTATTTTTATTTCCTATTCCCATAACATGTCATGCTCTAAATTATCAAATTATTTATTTATTTGTGGTCCTAAGTATTGAACCCAGGGCCACTCTACCACTGAACCACATCCCCAGCACTTTTTATTTTGAGACAGGATCTTGCTAAACTGCTGAAGCTGTCCTCAAATTTGTGATCCTCTTGCTCAGCCTCCCAAGTTGCTAGGATTATGGCTAGTGCCCACACATCAGGCCCAAACAATTTACATTGATGACAACATTCTGTCTTCCCCTCTCCTGCTCTACAAACACGCTAGATTGGAAACTCCAGAGAACGTGGGTTGTCTTATCTTACTTACTTTTTATTATTTACTATTTTCAGAAAGCCTGTAAGAGTGCCTCACAAAAATTATTATTTCTTGGCCCAGTGTGATGACAATCCCAGAGGCTTGTATCACAAATTCAAAGCCAGCCTCAGTAATGACAAGGCACTAAGCAACTCAGTGAGACCCTTCTCTAAATAAAATACAAAAATAGGGCTGGGGATGTGGCTCAGTGATCGAGTGCCCCTGAGTTCAATCCACAGTACCCAAATAAATACATAAATAAAAAGGGTTGGGGATGTGGCGTGTGGCTCAATGGTTAGGCAGTCCTGGGTTCAATCTCTGGTACAAAAAAAAAAAAAATCAAATTGTTGGAACCACAGATAGGTTGGGGTGAATGGAGCAGGTTTCATGCACAAAACTGGGGTCATAGTTCAGTCTAGAGCACTTGTTTAGCATGTGTTAGACACTGAGTTCAATCTCCAGTATAAACAAAACACACAAAACCCCATAAAAATGCATGCATGAGGTCCCTGGGACTATCCCCAACATAAGAAAAAAACCCAGCCAGGCGTGGTGTAGTCTCAGCTATTGGGGAAGCTGAGACAGTTCATGAGTTGGAGACCAGCTGGAGCAACATAGTGAAACTGTCTCAAAACAAACAAAAAGCCTCAACAAACCTTAATAAACCTTAATAGTGACAGAATTGTTTTCTCCTACTCATAGATACTTTTTCAACTTCATTATTTTATTTTTGTGATGTGTTCAGAAATATAGATGTTGGCTCTCTGAGATTTCTTAGTTGTCTTTCCTCTCTTTCATTTGACTTTCTCTTTTCCTTTGTCTCTGTTTTATCACAAACACATTGAGTTCTCCAAAGACACTTACCTTTGGAAGCCATGTAAAATTCTAGACCAGGGTCTTTTCAAGTGACAAAGAGATGAACACTCGTAGCAGACTGATAAATACTTTGGTACTCAATTTACCTTTCTCTTCTTCTGGTACTGGAAACTAAACCCAGAGCCTCACACCCTGGGTTAATGCTCCCATCCAGCTACTTTCTCAGTCCTTATGATAAACAATGGGGACACTGACTTAAAAATAATCAGGTGCCCCCCTTAATCACATTCCTATTTGTGATCTTTTGATTTCTTTTTGGAGCCTACCTTTTAAAATCCTATCTTGCATTCCCTAAGCATTCAAGACTGGTTTTCTTTCGTTTTTCTATTTGATCCTGAAGCTTGAAGATTGGGTCTGCTTTACCACTGAGCAACATTCCCAGTACTTTTTATTTTTATTTTGATACAGGGTCATGCTAAATTGTTGAGGCTGGCCTTGAACCTGAGATCCTCTTGCTTCAGTTTCCCGATTATAGGCATGCACCACCATACCCAGCTAAGTTATTTATTTATTTATTAGTTTTAGGTGGATACAACATCTTCATTTTATTATTATTATTTTTTAATGTGGTCCTGAGGATTGAACCCAGTGCCTCACATGTGCTAGGTGAGCACTCTACCACTTGAGCCACAACCGCAGCCCCTAGTTTTTTTATTTTTTAAACAATTTTTACTGTGTGTGTATACATACATATGGTTATATATACACACATATATGATGTGTGGCAAGAGGCATGGGGTCAGTTTTCAGATTGCAGGAGCTCAATCCTTAGTACCAAAAAAAGAAAAAAAATTAAAACTCAACACAAATTTTATAGATGCTAACATCAAAAAAGAAGAAAAGTCTCAAATTACCACAATTTCTACATGTTGGCCCTTAAAAGAAACTGAGGCTGGGTAGGTAGCACACACCCATAATCCCAGCAACTCTGAAGGCTGAGGCAGGAGGATCACAAGTTCAATGCCAGCCTCAGCAACTCAGTGAGGCCCTAAGCAACTTAGAGAGACCCTGTCTCAAAATAGAACATAAAAAGGGCTGGGGGTGTAGCTCAGTGGTTAAGCACCCCTGGGTTCAATCCCTAATATAGAAAAAAATAAAAATTTGGATTGATGAGAAGGAGCTGCAAGCATCCTTGTAAGAAAGGTATTGGATATTTTTTAATTTAATTTTTTTTTGTGTGTGTGTGTGGTACTGGGGATGGAACCCAGCAATATTCTACATCAAAGGAGAAGCTCCATAACTCAGTTTTGTGTTCTGATGAAAGAAAATTTAAAGTCAGACACCAAAATCATGCAAGAGAACTTCATTGCAAGTGAAAGTAAAGTAAGGTTCAAGCAAAGAGCGCTCTCCAGAGAGTGGGTCTTCTCAGAACAGAGGACAAAGGAGACAATACTGCTTCTAAATTTGCTACTGTTGAATGTTTGCCTTGAGACCTGGGGTTCATCTTCTGCACTTTTTGGGGGGTACTCAGGGGTACTTGACCACTGAGCCACATCACCAGCCCTATTTTGTATTTTATTTAGAGACAGGGTCTCACTCAGTTGCTTAGCACCTCGCTTTTGCTGAGGCTGGCTTTGAACTCACAATCCTCCTGTCTCAGCCTCCCAAACTGCTGGGATTACAGGCGTGCACCACCACATGCGGCCATCTTCTGCATCTTCTGCACTCTACCAGATGTTCAACTTCTCCTTCATGCTGCCTGTGGAGTTTTTGACTCTAGCTCATCCTCTCCAGGATTGTCTTGGTGGCCATCCTATTCAGGGGGACTTCATCTACAAGTCAATCCTATGTCAATAGGGGTACTCCATCTGTCACAAGTTCCCTCAGTGTTCCTGCCTTACTAAAGAAATTTTCTTTTGAAGACATGTAGCCATAACTCCTAGCTTTACTCTGACTTCAGTGGACCCTGTCCAGAGTTAGTACCATTAGCCCTTCTTTCTTGATGAATTTTCCCAAATTAGCTCCTTTTGTTTCTATTTGCTTACTCTTGAAAAACCAGAGCAAAGCCTGTCCAAGGAAGGGACATGACCTTTGTCCTTGGAAAGACCCACAGAGCACTCCTTGGCACATTCCCACCCTGCTAAGTTCTTTATCTACAAATAACAGGAGAGATCTGCTGCAAGGTGTCCCTGACTCAGTCAGGCTAGATGGGGACCCATAGCAATCCCTTAGCAGCCACCAATCAGCAAGAGACAGGGAAATACCTGGGATGCCAGATGACCCTCCCAGTAGTTTATGGTGTTGGGAAACCATGTAGTTCAGCATGAACACCCCTTTTGGCTTAAACCAATCAGTTCAAATGAATCCCGCTCTTGTAGTAACCAATCACCCCTACCCAACTTGTTCAGGCCAGTGAATGTGCTAATCATGTTTTAGAGTTGTTATTTGATTTTCCTGCGGTGTGATGATTTGCTAAGAGATGCTATAATGTATGTGAAGTCCCTGCCTTCCCCAAAGAGTGTATAAAACTGCTGCAAACCCTGTGCTTGGGTCTCTCAGCGTCACCAGTTGCTGTGTGTATGGGGAGGACCGAGCTAGCTTGCAATAAACACCTCTTTGCTGCTTACATCGATCTTGGTCTCTGTGGTCTTTTTGGCCCCGAATTTGAGCATAACACTCTTAAGGTCTGGATATTGGGTTTTGTAAAAAAATATTTATTTTTTAGTTAGGTGGACACAATATCTTCATCCTATTTTCATGTGGTGCTGAGGATCGAATCCAGTGCCTCTTGCATGCTCGGAGAGCTCCGAGCCACAACTTCAGCCCCAGTAGTGGTGTTTTCTACAGGTAATCTACTACAAGTTATTTACTCATCTACCTTGACAGTAACTTAAAGACAAGAGTAGCACTCCAACACTACTAGTTTTTTTTTATGTGATTTTTTGTTTTTTGAGTCAGGGTCTCCCTAAGTTGGCCAGGTTGGCTGCAAACTTACTCCTGCCTCAGTCTCCAGACAAGCTGGAGTTGTAGTCATGTGTCACGTTGCTGGGTTGAGTGCTATGAGAGGTGAGAGGAAAGAACAAGGCTAAAGACATTCTTGGGAAAGGAAGGAAGTTAGGGTGAAATGACCTTGGTGGCTCTCTATGGACTTGAATATTCTGCTCTAATGAAAACCAGTTTTCAGCATATAAACTGCAGAATGTAGCAAGTTTTGGCCTAGTAGGGTTTTAGTGGATGCTGGAGAAAAGGACACACAGTTGCATAGGGTCAGAAGTTGATTTATTTAGAGTTAGATGGGACTGAAGCTTGGGCTCCCATGTCCTGTGGGCCTAGTATTTTGGGACTCCTCAGTCTGTCTTTATCTGTTTGACTTTAATTTTTCCACACAACAACAACAACAAAAAAGAATTCAAGCAAACAAACCGGAGAAAGGGGCTGGGATTGTAGTTCAGTGGTAGAGCGCTTGTCTAGCATGTGTGAGCCTGGTTTTTATCCCCAGCATTGCCAGAGAGAGAGGTGGGGGGGGGGGACGTGCATCAGAAAAGAAAGCAATGAAATAGAAAATAGTAGAAAAAGAGGGCCTCCTTGGTGGAAGCTCATGTTCTAGCTAGGGGGACAGGTCATGGACATGACAACCAGGGTGGGGGTGGCCTTATTGGCTGCTAGAGTGTGGCCCCAGCAAGCTATAATATTGTGAAACCAAAGAACAGCAAAGGGCTTATTTTTTCTTTTCCTGTTTGAGTCTGGTAGACACTGTGTGAGGACCATGATACCTCTACAGGGAATGCAGATGAGTCCACCCATGACCTCTGGTTTGAGCCCGTAGTTTCACTCCCTGAGCAAGGAATTAAAACGTTGGAGGAAGATGAAGAGGAACTTTTTAAGATGCAAGCAAAGCTACTTTGATTTGCTTCAGAGAATGATCTTCCAGGAGGAAGGAACCAGGCACCCTCAATATTGAGCATGAGAAAGGGACCATCTGCCTTCTCCCGAGGAAGGACAAGCCCCTGAAGATACACCCCAGCCATTGTATCCCACCGAGGTTGGGCTGAAGGCAAACCCGGCAACGACCATGCCTGGGTTTGGAACCCCTGTGCTGACTTTGGTGAAGAGGACCCCAAGCAGGGACTGCTGGCCATCGGCTTCATAAACGCTGGTCATGCACAACATTCAAAACAGTCTGAAGAATGCAAGAACGCGATGGAAGAGATCGCTTTTTCCCCAGCATTTTTCAGCAAAAGTGATAATGCTGAAGAAGTGGCTGAAAAGCTGCAAGCTTCCTGGGAAGGAGGAAAGCCAGAGAGTGAAGACCCGGGAGAAATCAGAAGCAGTGAGTCATCTTAATTCCTTTTACTTTTTCTTCTTTTTAAATCTCACCCCGCCCCTCCTTTTGGGTTTATAGCCATCCTGTTGTTTTCATAAGGGACTTCATATAAAGAACTGAATTCTAACATTCAGTTTTATTTTTTTCTTAAGTTTTTAGCCTATTGAAGATGACTTGAGAAAATCCATTCCCCAGTCATGAAAATATACTGCACGGACTTTCATTTCCATTGTGGAAAACACTTATTTATAGTTGTCAAAAATAGTGAGTAAAAAAATGCATTTGAAACGTGTGAGACAGGGTGCCAGAGGAGAAAGCAGAAAAACAGTATTAGGAAAAAAAAAATCAATGTCACCAAAACTGGATTTTTAAAAAAAAATTTATTTATTTTTTAGGTGTAAATGGACACAACACAATGCCTTTATTTTTATGTGGTGCTGAGGATCGAACCCGGGTCTCGTCTGTGCTAGGCGAGCTCTCTATCACTGAGTCATAATCCCAGCCCCAAAACTGGATTTTTTGTTTGTTTTTTTGACGGTGGAGATCAAACCTAGCTCCTCACACATGCTAGGCAAGCACTGCATGCACCACTGAGCTAGCTACACCATGCCTAGCTCAGATTCTACAAATATTTAAAGGATAATAAGAGAATATTACAAATTGCTTATGGCTGAAAAGGTCAGGCGAATGTCAGAGGAAAAGACCACCAAGAGACCGTCTCATGCAACAGCAAAGGGTTTATTGGGGGTCCAGCATGCTGGGGCTCAGAGCTCACTTCAGAAGAGCAGAGAACAAAGAGCCCCGAGAACCACTTGAGCAGAGTTTATATACATTCTTTAGAGAGGGCAGGGGCTTTACATACATCATAGCCTCCTTTAGCAAATCATCATATACCGCGGGAAAATCAAATAACAACTCTAAAACATGATTAGCACATTCACTGGCGGGAACAGGTCGGGTGGGGGTGATTGGTTAGTACTAAGATAGGTATATATTTAAACTGATTGGTTGAAGCCCTGAGATGTGTACGTGCTGAGCTGCATGGTTTCTGGGAAGGGGTGATTTAGTAACTAGGTGGTCAGGGGAAGATTTTGACACACATCTAACAGGCAGTTCCGGGAATTGTCTTAACTGCCACAGGAATTTCAGGCTCTGAGTGCAGCTTGGAAACTTTACAAAACCTGGTCCTTTACATTTTAACTTCAATTTCTTTTATTCTTTCATGGCAATACATTCTACAACTTAGATGAAGCTAGTCTTCAGTTAAATCATATCCCTGAGTAACTTCCCTCCCTTCCTGCTTTTTCTTATCTCCATCCCTCTGTTATGGCAATAAATCATGGAGTCACCAGCTGGCAGGTCAAAGGGCAGGCTGCAAGTCTCCACCCTTCGACCCCCTCCTGGGGTTGGGGTTTGAGCACACCTTTTATAATCCAAAACCACATTAATCATAAGTGGCTATTGCTATGATTCAAAACCATAAACAAATGTCATGAGATCTAAAATCGTAAGCAGAAGAGGAAGTGGGTCAAAAATGACCCTAATTGAGTACAAGTTAAAGAATGGTTACTAACATCTAGATAATCATTCTCGAATGGGGTACCTCGTCCAAGAAAAATGGGATCCAAAAAGAGAGCAACTTTACATTGTATAACAACTGCCATTTTGTGTTGCCAAACATGCTATGCTAAGCAATTGTTGATGGTAGAGGCGGGGTGCTCCCATGGGAGAAGCATTTCTTAACATGACAGGGCGTCTCAGGGCAACTCGGAGTCTGTTTGGTCATTGCCCATGTAGCCTGGTCCATAACACCTCACTCCCCTCTTCACAGGAGTCTGCAGTTCAGGCTCTGATTCCATGGGACCTGATAAAGCCCCTCTTCAATGCTCTCTTTTCTGCTGCCTTAGCTTCTCCCCATGCTAACTGAACATTTTAGCCCATGGATGCCAGTGGCAGAAGGCATTATGATAGCCTGGCATGGTGAAGTGCACCTGTAATCCCAGTTACTTGAGAGACTGAGGCAGGAGGGTCTCAAATTCAAAGCTAATCTCAGCAAGGGAGTCCTTATCTCAAAAGTAAAAAGGGATGGGAGTGTATCTCAGTGGTAAAGCACCCCTCTGTGCATCCTCACTAACACAGAAATACTGGGTAGAATCTATGGGTCTGCCTTAATTCACTTCATTTTAGTCATTTCTTTTTTGTTGTTACCAGGGATTGAACTCAGGGGAGCTTAACCACTGAGCCCTATCTCCAGCCCTTTTTATTTTTAGTCAGGCTCTCACTAAATTGCTTGGGGTCTTGCTAAATTGCTGAGGCTGACTTAGAACTTGCCATCCTCCTGTCTCAGTTTCCTGAGCCGCTGGGACTACAGGTGTGCACTATTACACCTGGCCATTTTAGTAATTTCTTAATTTTAGCAAGCTGGGCAGCCAGACAAGGCACATGGTTTAAGGGTATTTTGGTACCAGGGATCTAGCCCAAGGGCTCTTAATCACTGAGCCACACCCTCCACCCTTTTAAAGATATTTTTAGTCAGGGTCTTGCTGAGTTGCTTAGCCTTGCTAAATTGCTGAGATTGTCTTTGAATTGCAATCCTCCTGACTCAGCCTCCCCAGCTGCTGGGGTTACTGGCATGAACCATGGTGCATGGCAATGGGCATGGTTTAAAATAAACAAAACAGATTATGTATAGATTGTTTGTATAAAGGCCAAATGTCTTTTAAAAAGCCTAGAAGAAACTTGGTTCTACAAATGACAAGTGTATATTTAGATAACACTGCTTATGTCAACTATAATCCCAGCACCTAGGAAGGCTGTGGCAGGAGGATAAAAAGTTCAAGGACAACATGGACTGCTTGGTGAGACTCTCTGTCAAAAAAAAAAAAAAAAGGCTGAGGTTATAGCTCAGTGGTAGAGTACTCCTGGGTTCAATTCCCAGTAGAGTGTAATAGTGATCCACGATTTCTGTTGAATATAACCCTTGCTGCTCTGCCACTGCCACTTATTTTTAAAATGGACATGTTTCTTTCTCTTCCACTGCCACAGTCTGGCTGGGCACAAATCATGAGCCACTCAAGCAGGAACAAACTTTATTTCAGAACTCCCCCAAACGCCATCCACGCGGCCCTTCCAGGAACACCACACACCAACCGGAACTCCCTCCACCGGAACTTCCCCAACCAATGTGAACTCTCCAGGAATCCCTGAGAGAGCTCAACCGGAACTCAAGGGGAACTCCGTGAGAACTCAAAAGTAGCCGCCGCCCTATTGCCGGACAGCAGGGGTCTAATATACAACTGAATACCCAGCCTGTTTCAATCTAGCATCATCCAGTCACAGCAATTATACACAGCTTTACTTAATTATCATCATCTTAATGGCTCGCTGGCGGTCAACTCTCAACCATAACTTCTGACAAAATGCCAGGGGCCATTCCGACTCGGCTGTGGCTCTCAACATTCCACTCTACCTGCTCCTCCCTAATATTAGGGGAAACAGCATTACCTTTCTTCCATCCTATGCAGAATTATCTGTCCTTGAGTATACACCCACCATAGGAACAAAGTAATCCAGACTTTGGGGATGGTACCAGAAGATCTCAGAAATATTTCCCAAATTGACAAGTGAATTATAACTCCAATGGAGAACATGGGAATGTAGCCCTTGAGCCACCTCTTTTAAAAAAGCCCCCTGTTCCCGCTGAGGGGCAGAATCACAGCCTTTGGGACAGGAGTCCCCTGTGTTTCTCCTGTACTAGCAAAGCAATAAACATTCTTTTTCCTTTTTCTCCAAACCATATTCTCATTATTGAATTGGTATCAGGGACAAGGACTGAGCTTTCAGCAACAGTGGGGGAAGAAAAAGATAAAAACAATTCTACCTTTTTCCTCTAAAGAGTATGGACGTGTAGATCTAGATAAGTAGATATACAAAGACTTGTAGATTTAGAAATAGTGATAGAGAGCAGTAGGGAGGGAGGAGTTGGGTGTAACATAGATGCAAAAACAAATTTACATAAAGTTATACATAAAAAAAATTCAGAGCTAGGGGCTGGAGTTATGGCTCAGTGGTACAGCACTTGCCTGGTATGTGTGAGGCCCTGGGTTCAATCCTCCACACTGCATATAAATAAATAAATAAGCAGATAAATAAATAAAAGATCCATTGACAACTGAAAATATATATATTAAAAACAAAACAAAGGGCTGTAATTGTGGCTCAGCGGTACAGCGCTCACCTAGCACGTGTGAGGCCCGGGGTTCAATCCTCAGTACCACATAAAAATAAAGATATTGTGTCCAACTACAACTAAAACATAAATATATTTAAACAAAACAAAACAAAACAAAAAAACAAACAAAAACAAAACAAAAACCTCAGAGCTATAGATCTGTGTGTAGCAGTGCAGGATCCACCACATTCACATGGACCTGCACAAACTGTATAAAGAAATAGAATGTAAATTGGCAAGGTGAACAGAAAGGTAATGTAAGGGTAAAAGAAATTGAAGTTAAAGTGTAAAAGTGAAGCCAGATTTAAAGTTAGGTAGTCAGTGTAGTTAGGTAAATCGGGTCTAATATCGAGTGAAATCTAAAATGGAGGCCGTGCGGAGAATGACTCAGGGAAAACACAGGACAACTCATGGAATGTTAATGAAGTCCCAAAAGGCCCTAGGCCAAAGTCCACCTCAAAGAAATGTTAATGAACAGCCCCCAGCAAAAAGGTGCTGACTCAGAAGTCCTTCCTGACCAGATTACTTCTTTGGCCCACCTGTGTCCCACCCCTGGGGCCTTCCCACCTACATTCCATCACTGAAAGAACTATAAAAAGGGGAGACAACATCCCTTCCACGGATTCCACCTCTTGGGTCCCCTTCTTCCTCCGGGAGAAGTCTTTTCTGCTGTCCTTTAATAAACTTCTAATTTCTACTCTGACCTTGCCTCGGCATGCTTCTTTGGTGTTATTCTTCAACATTGGGGAAGCAAGGACTCACCACCGGTCAACAGCGGTAACAAAAGTTAAAGTGTAAAAGACCGGGCATTGTAAAGTTTCTAGGCTGCAAGGCCTGAGTTAAAATGTAAAGGATTAGGTATTGTTAACCTGAAATTCCTGTAGCTGTTAAGACAATGCTTGGAACCGCCCAGTAAATATTCCCCCTGACTGCTTGGTTGTTTAATAATTCAGGGCTCTGTATGATCTTGCACGTAGGCATTGCAAGGCCTGGACCAATCAGTTTGAATGTGTACCCCGTTTAGAACTGACCTATCACCCCCACCCGACCTGTTCCCGCCAATGAATGAACTAATCATGTTTAGGAATTGTTGTTTGATTTTCCCACGGTGTATGATGATTTGTTAAAGGAGACTGTGATGTATGTAAAATCCCCGCCCTCCAAAAAAAGTGTACTTAAGCAGTGCTCAGCCCCTGCTAGGGGCTCTGGGCTGTTCTCCCTTCTTGAGTGGGCATGGAGCCCTAGCATGCTAGATCAATAAATCCCCTTCTGCCAATTGCATGAGTGGTCACTTGGTGGTCTCTTTCTCCGACGCTTCGCCGGACCCTTACAGTAATATTTTCCAAAGATATTTTTATTATTATATTGATGTAATCCTACATACACCTTCATACACAGTAATGATTTTACAAGTTATAATTTTGAAAGAAAGAAGACAAAACGTTTTAGTTAGCTTTTGCATCACTGTGCCCAAAATACCAGACAAGAATAACTTAGAGGAGGGAAAGTTTATTTGGGGCTCATGGTTTCAGAGGCTTAGTCCTAACAGCCGACTCCATTGCTCTGGGTCCAAATGAGGCAACACATCATGTAAGAAGGTCCCAGCTGGGCACTGAGGGCACATGCCTGTAATCCCAGCAGCTTGGGAGGCTGCAGCAGGAGAATCAAAAACTCAAAACCAGCCTCAGCAATTTAGCGAGGCCCTGTCTCTAAATAAAAAAATAAGGACACCTCACATCCAAACCAAAACACAAAATAAGGATGGTTACCCCAAAAGTTTTAAGTTTATATAATTTACTTGTAATAAAGTGAGGAATTACAGGATTATGTACACACATACATACATAAGTATATATTTGAAAACCTATTAACATAGAAAAAGTTAATAGATTTTTATTCAGTGATTTTATGATGTTATTATAATTTCCTTGTAATTGATTTGTTTTTGTGGTACTAGGGATTGAACCTAGGGACACTCTACTACTGAGCGACATCTTCAGACTTTATTTTTATTCTGAGGCAGGTCTAGTAAAGTTGCCCTGGGTTGGCCTTAAACTTTCAATCTTGCTGCCTCAGGCTCTGGAGTTGCTGGGAGTATAGGTGGGCACCACCATTCCTGGTTAATTTTTGTGCGTTTTAAATGTTCAATGGAAAAAAATACATTTACATGAAAAATACTCAGCATTATGGATACGTCCTCATTCATTTAACCCCTTCCCTTATTGATGGATGCTAAGGTGTCCAGTTCCCAGTTCGAACCCTCAGAACTTAGGGAGGAAAGAAAAAGCTCTTGCTCACTTTTTTTTTGGCAGTGCTGAGAGTCCAACACAGGGCCTTGCACATGCTTGTGCTCCACCCCCAGCCCCCTTTGTTTTCTTTTGTTGGTACCACGGATTGAACCCAGGAGCACTTAACCACTGAGCCATATCCCCAGCCCTTTTTATTTTATTTTTTGAGACAGGGTCTCAATAAGTTGCTGAGGCTGGCTTTGAATTCAGGATCCTCCTGCCTCAGCCTCCCAACCCACTGGGATTACAGGCATGAATTACTGTGCATGGCTTTTCCCCTTAATTTTAAGATAGGGTCCTGCTAGGTTGCCCAGGCTGGCTTGAAGGAGCCAGGAACTTGCAATCCTCTCACCTCAGCTTCCTGAGTAGATGGGGTTACAGGGACACCACCACTAGGCCCAACAACAACAAAAAAAACACTCACTTTTATAAACATACAGCATGAAGAAATATAGTATTCCCTCACTTTCTATAATACTTATTTCAAATTTATCTCAGTGCCATGCCAGAAGGGAATAAATGAATACTGACAGTATCTCTTCTTGGCCTGTTATCTTTGCTTCGCCTCCATTAGCACTTGTGGATTTCTCAAACTGGAAGATGCTTTTTTCAGAAGGATTCAGCAGATGTGTCTGCTGCCTGCTGCCCCTGGTGTTTCCAAGGCAATACAGATACAGAGCTTTAGGCACCATGAGTTAAGAAGATACCACTGCCCATAACAGACATCCATTTGGGTTCCCAGTCATCTTATCTTACCCCTGGCACTGGTCTTGCTTCAAGATAGGATGTCCTCACTATTCATTGTCTATTAATTGTACTGATTCTGTTCAGATGCAGGGTGCACACCTGTAATTCCAGAGACTTGGGAGACTGAGGGAGGAGGAAACAAGTTCAGGGCCAACCTTGGCAACTTAGTGAGACCTGTCTCAAAATAACAAATAAAAAAGGGGCTAGGGACAAGGCTCAGTGGTAACCCTCCTTCCCACTACCAAATAAGTAATAAATTGTATCAATTCTGAATCAAAACGAAGGAGGCCTGCCTGGACCAGTTACATGAGATTGACATCTTCCTCCTGGAGCTAAGGCCATGGTTAGCCTTGCAGCATATGAAGCAGAACCTGACAATCTTCTCCAATGAGAGGTTGGTGGGGTCTGAAAGGGTCCCCTTTCTGTAGATCAGAATTAGTGGTGCACGTCTGTCATCCCAGTGATTTGGGAGGCTGAGGCAGGAGGATCGCAAGTTCAAAGCCAAAACCCTAAGCAACTTAGTAAGACCCAGTCTCTAAATAAGTATATTTTTAAAAAAGCTGGGAATGTGGCTTAGTGGTCAAGTGTCCCTGCGTTCAATCCCTGGTACAAAAAAAAAAAAATAATAATAATAATAATTTACTGAGATGACAGGAGTTCATCTAAAGACTCGAGGTTTCTACATATTGCTGGTGCAGTTGGTAGAGCAGATGAGATGACTCTCCAGCTGACCTTGCAGTTGGCTACACATCTGTCTCACTGTATCTCTTCAAGTGGTTCCCATTCCTCAATCAGAGCTTGGCGGCCCTGGTCCCACCACTGCATGACATAAGATATGTTAATGGGACCCAGACCCTGTGGTTTCTTGTTCTCAGGATTAGGTTGAAAATGGTCCTTCAATGGTATGACTCCTATGCCAGTTTGTTCTTTGTGATTTTGGTATTCTTCTTGGAATTGGATCCAGAAAGGAACCCGAGTATCCGAGATGTCCCCTCTTGGAGTCAGTAGTTCTGGCAGGTGATTCATAAAAGTGAGAGGCAGGTCAGAGTTCTCTTCTCTCTGCACAGCCTGGGTGGGCTGCATGATCCCAGAGGACAGAAGAGGAGTAGGTGAAATTGTTTGGTTGTCAGGGAAGGAATCAGAAGAAGGCAGATAATAACTCCCATCTGGGTGTATAAACGGATCTGTTTCCTGCAGTTGATTAGTCAGATCTGGTCTCCCATTTGTGTCATCTACCAAGAAATTTTTGGGCTCCTTTCTGCTCCAGTCAGGGTCCAGATATCTTTGGTCCTGAAACCATATTTAAGTGAGGAACAGGGAAATGTGAACATCATAAAACACAAGTAATTCTAGCTCTGCTTCTTATACTCTGTAAAGAAAGAGACTATTAACATAGGCCTGATCACAGGATACATCTAACTTTTGTGTGTGTATGTGTGTGTGTGTGTGTGTGTGTGTGGTGCTGGGAATTGAACCCAGGGCCTTGTGCATGTGAGGCAAGCACTCTACCAACTGAGCTATATCCCCAGCCCTTGATCACAGAATACATCTGATCAAGGCTAGTAAACACAAGTGTTTTTGAGAGTTTCTGGGCCACAAGCTTATAAATGTACTTCCTAAGTCATGAGAATTTAACATACATACAATAAATAAGTGCCCATATCACTTAGGTAGAATAAGTAGATAGTTTTGCCTCTCAATGGAAGGACATTTGACTATGTCTGTAAATCTTTCTGGCTGTCACAAATGGGGATAGGGAAATGGTTATAGATAGACTGCACTGGTATCTACTTGGTAAACACAGGAATGCAGAGAAATGACCTACCATGCACAGAACAACACCTTAGAAGGAAGAATAATCTAGTCTAAAATGACCATGCTGCTGAGTTTTTATAGGAAATCTAACAGAGTCTTCTTAAAACAGGTATTAATTTTCACATTTCCCATTTTTCCTGCTTCTAATTGAAACGGGTACCTCTTAAATGGGTTTGCAAATTCTTCCTTTGCAGGAATGTGACTTACAGTGCTGAGTGCTTACCATTCCATACCTTTATCCCCATGACTGTGACAACCCAAGATAGCCCAAAGTTCCAGTCACACCTGCAGGGGCGATATCACTTTCAGGGAGGACATAATGGGGCCACAAACAACTCACCTGAATCTGCAATCCCTGAATGTCTGTTGGTTTAGCCAGTTTTTCCCTGGTAGCAACATCAGGGACTTGGTTCCTCTCAAAGGCTTGAACTAGGGTCCTTCTTTGAGTTCTTGCGAGGGGTATGTGGTCTTGCTTGGCTTCTTTTGTTAACCATTCTAAAGGAGAACACAGGAAGGAAGGGGGTGTTTTAGGTCAGCTCTCACATTCAAGCCAGAAGATAATGCTGCTGAAATTTACTCTCTGAATTTTGCCACCTCCAGAAGAGGTCACTGTGCTGCTGAGCAGCAGTCAACCCAAAAGATCCAAAACTTTGTTTGCTGAGAAACTCCCTGTCCTGGCCAGCTATGGGACAAGGTTTTATATATATATATATATATATTTTTTTTTTTTTCCAAGGTTATATATTTGACCCTTGAGTGTCCATAACAAATTGTAACTAGTTCCTAGGCTAAGCAATCTTTATGTAGAATTTGGGCACAACATGCAGACATTTCTACTCAGTGGGATTGAGGAACTATACTAGTTTTTGTTTTTTGGTACCAGGATTGAACCCAGGGGTGTTCTAAGACTGAGCCACATCTCCAGCCCTTTTTGTTTTTTTGAGACAGGGTCTCAATTGATGTAACGCAGAGCATGTTGCATCAGAAAAGAGGAAACTTAACTTGCTGGCTGCTACCCACTTCCCAGTCCTGGGGCCACAGGTGGCTAAGAGAGCACCTAGCAATTAGCCAGAAGGCATTGCCCTGGGTTGTGATGAAGAATCCGACCACCTCTAGGATAGGCTTAGAACCCTTCTGCCCTCACAGATATTACTGCCTGTAGGATGGGTGTAGATGTAAATTCTCCCCACCCTGCTGACCTTTATCCTGATTGGCTCCTGTACATTATATTAGCTGTGTATGTTTTCTCATTAAATGAGATCCTGCTTTGACAGTTCTCCCTGGTGCATCTGATTGTCCTCCAGGGAGGGAGGGCTGGGTGTGGGCAGCCAGCCGACCTTTACCTTTCTTGGCCTGTCCTGGTGGGGCGTGCTCCCTCAATCTCTCCCACAGGTCAGGAGGGAATGGGGGGCTAAAAACCTAATAAACTCAATAAACTGCTTAAAGCTTCACTAAGTTGCTGAGGTTGGCTTTCAAACTGTGATCCTCCTGCCTCAGCCTCCTGAATCACTGGGATTACAGGTGTGTGCCACTGTGTGCCCAACGAGGAATATGGAACCCAAATATGGACCGGTGGGTTCTTACCTTGCATCTGTAACTGAGACTGGTTATGTCCCTGGATTGGGTCTTTTCCTAAGGAGCATGCAGACTCCAATTTTCTCTGTCTGCTTCTTCGGTTTCTAAACCAAGTCTAAGTGGAAAAAGATGTGAGGGTGTGATGGAGATACCAGACCTGATCAGAACATTATATGAAGAACCAATGCCTGGGGAAAGAGTTAATTCTCTTATACTTTGTAACTTTCTGAACTCTTAGAAATGTAGCTACCTCATTTAATTGCTAGGCCAATTAACTGCGGTCTAAACTATAACCTTGTAGGCTTAGTCCTTAGAACTAGAGCTCTTAGGGAGGTAAACTCAAGTTATCTTGAGTTACTCTGCTGTGGGAAGGCCACTGTGGGATAACACTCGCAGGTGTTTTGCTGTCTTTGTTCTACACCTGTGAACTATTCATCGTAAATTCCCTGTACATGGTCTTTGGTCACGTAGGCCAAGATTTCAAACTCACCAATGTTATCATAGTTAAGAAATGATGTCAAATTTCCTATAAAATCTCCACGTAACCTCAACTTGGGGCCCAGAACTCCAGAGCACTAGCTCATCTGGGAATTTGAGGTAAATAAACCTGAGTTCTCCAACCCTCAGAGTGGTGCTTGGTCTCTTGCTGAAAGTGATTTCCATAACAAAAGCCATGTATCTCAGTCTGTGGCATTCTAAGTCTCAATTCAATTAAACCAAACTAATTTAACTGTTTGCCTCTGGAATTATACCCTAAAGAGAAAGACAATGCTTTATCCTAGAGAAGATGCTACTGCTAGAAAACAATTGAGGAACCAAAGAGAGACAGCAATGCGTGTGGTCAGCCTCATGTTATCCAAAATAAATTTCCCTGATTTAAGAGACCCTGTTGGTTCTCTCAAAGAATTTCTCCGGCTTTTTGTCTCTTTCTTTCCAAGCAGGACTTCAATGTCTGAATGCCTTTTCTTGGCCCCACGATTGCATCATAAGAAATGTAATATGGAACCCAAATATGGACCAGTGGGTTCTTACCTTGCATCTGTAACTGAGACTGGTTATATCCCTGGATTGGGTCTTTGCCTAAGGAGCATGCAGACTCCAATTTTCTCTGTCTTTCATATAATACTTACAGCATGGATCATAGAAAGGAATTTCTTTAGATGGGGTAGCAGTATTAGCCACACTACAGAGCTGGGCTAACATTCATCCATATTTATTCTTATTTCATCTAAGGGTTAACGATAGACAAAAATTCTAGGGACTTGGACACCTTGCTTTGTCACTATTGTCACTAACACAACCAGCTGAATTCTTTGCATGTTTCCTCATGACTGGAAATAGGATTGAAACATACTTTCTAATTTCTTTTGAGTGTTTAATTTCTATAATTTTTATTGAGAAGACTTAGGATATTAACGACAACCAGTACTTGATGAACAACTCACATCCTATGCATTGTGCCAAAGGTTATATCTCTTAACTAATTCATCAAAATATTTTCAGAAAAGAAAACTGAAGCACAGGTGGAAACTGGAAACTAATTAATAGATTAGCAAACACCATGACAGACCAACCTCATCCCATACTGTTTCCTGGATTTGCCATGCTTGCTATCAGTTTAAATAGGCCCAGCACCTCTCAAAACCAACTACCAGATATTAGCATAGGATATACTTTTATTACTCAGTTTGAATAAACTGTCTCCCACACCCAGTTCCAATACTTGAAGAAATAGGTAAAATATCTGCTTCCTTGGATCCTCTTAGACCAAGGCCCTATAGCCAGTGGCTTCTATTAGACTATGCATTTGATTAAAAACAAAATTCAGAACTCATTATTTTCCTCTAAAAACATTTTTATCTGACCTTCATATTGATTTAAATACTGTTTCTACCTGGTATAGTGACATTCTTTTTAGGTATCTTTTTGATAACTGAAAGACTATAACTTAGTTTCATTTTTTAAAAAATATTTTTATTTTTTAGTTGTAGTTGGACACAATACCTTTATTTTATTTATTCATTTTTAGATGATGCTGAGGATCGAACCCAGGGCCTGGCACGTATTAGGCGAGCGCTCTACTGCTGAGCCACAACTCCAACCCCTTAGTTTCATTTTTACATCAGTAATTATATTAAAAGTGATTCAATATGAGACTTTAGACACTATGTATGAATGACATCTGAGACATTAAATTAAAAAGAAAAAGCTAGCTTGAGAATTGGGGATTGGCACAGTTCCTTTGTGATTATTCATTAGTAATTTTCCTGTAATAGGTATTCTAATACTCCAATTTCCTATACTCTTTAAATTTCAAAATGATTCAATTATATCAAAATATGATTTACTGAGGAGAACTTGAGCATGTATATTCTTCCTCCTCTATCCCTGAACACACACCAATGATATTTCTATTATCGGTGAAAGATACAAACTGGTACTGTGTAATAGGAGAAACCTTTTTAGCCAAGTACCTGACACAAGTGAATTACCTTTAAGGGCTGAGACTTGCTTTTCTCTTTTTACTTTGTCTCTGACAATAGAAACCTAATGCCTACCCGAATTTTAGATTCTGGAATATCAATTTCCTTGGCCAGTTGTTCCCTGGTAGCTTTATTAGGGTGAGGGTTTTGTTCAAAACACGCCTGCAGGGCTTTCCTTTGGCTCTGGTTGTAGACCATCCTCTCTTGCCACCAGGTATCCTTTTTTCAGTGTACCAGATGAGGTGAGAAGGGAGAGAAGAGTAAAAAGGATAAGAAAAAAAAGTTAGTCCTAGAATTATTGCCAAAGATAACAACCCTAAATAATTAAGCTTTTTTTTTTTTTTTTTAAAGACCAGAGATGGAAAACCTAGATAGCCAGATTGCTCCATTTTTTCCCATTTACAGAACAAGTCTCCATTCTCTAATTTTTACTAGGACAAAGCCATGGTATAGAAAAAAAATAAATTCCCTTCCCCCACCTTTTTTTTTCAAAAGAAGTCCTCTGCTTTAAAATAATTCTAATTATTTAGTATGCACTCAAGGGGTGAGATCTCAGGAATATACACTAAATTACCCATAATATTTTTATTTTTTAAAATGGTACCAGGGATCGAACCTGGGGGCGTTTTGCCACTGAGTCATACCCCAGCACTTTTTAAATATTTAATTCAGAGACAGGGTCTCACTGAGTCTCTTAGGACCTTGCTAAATTGCTGAGGCTGGCTTTGAACTTTTGATCCTCCTTCCTCAACCTCTTCCTGGGCAGCTGGGATTACAGGTGTGTGCTACCATACCTGGCCTATCTACAATCTTCAAATAAAACTGACATAGGCCTGGGGGAACCCTTTAAGTCCCACCCAGGATTGGACTTTTTAAATCCATTGGGGTATTCTCCATGGGTCTCCATGAAGATCAGACCTTCTGGTCTGTCCCAAATTATCTACAAATTAGTGGCAATGTAATAAATGTCCTTGTCCCAATTGTATAGTTTTCAGGGTGCTTGATAGCCCCCTTAGGCCTCAAGAAAGAACATCCTTAAGCTCTCAAGTAGTCCAGGTGCACTGAAGAACTTTCAATTTTTGTTGTTATTATTATTTTAAATAGCAAGGGCACAAAAATCTTGGAGAAATTTTTTTTTGTTTTGTTTTTTTAACGAACACAATACCTTTATTTTATTTATTTTTTATGTGATGCTGAGTATCAAACCCAGTGCCTCACACGTGCTAGGCAAGCGTGCTACCACTGAGCCACAAACCCAGCCAGATTGCAGAGAATTTTGAGGCACTTTGGGATAAGAAAAATTCAGGGTGTGGTGGCATACACTTGTAATCCCAGCAACTCAGGAGGCTGAGGAAGGAGGATTGCAAATTTGAGGTCAGCCTTGGCAACCTAGTGAGGCTCTGTCTCAAAGTAAAAAATAAAAAGCTGAGGATGTAGCTCAGTGGTAAAGCATCCCTAGGATCAACTCACAGTTAAAAAAAAAAAAAGAGTCAGGTAACTTTTAATAGAAAGAGATTTATAGCTGGTGTTTTATCTCATGACCAAGAAGGACAGATGCCTCCTGGCTATCTTATGCTTTCTGGTGAGATCTGATAAAACAAGATGTATCTATGTAAAGCAACTGTTGCCTTTTCTGCCCTTGAAGGTGGGTGGAGCCTTCATTCTTTGGGTGTTTATCTAGACAAAAATAAAAGGACAGAGAGGACATTTTCTTTCAGGGAGATATCTAGTAAAGGACAGGTCAAGATTGGAAAACTTCTCTACCCAGACACTAAGTACAGAGAATGTGAAAACAAACATAAGAATCATCATGATTTAGTTAAAGCAAAGGTCTGAGAATACTTCCCAGCCGACAGTAGCTGCACAGAACAGAGTGGTTTTAGCTGGAGCAGGGAACAAGCCACTGTACAGAGTTTAGGAACGACAGGGCCAGGGGTCTTCCTCTGAACTTAAGTTCTAGCAGAGACTTAGGGTTGAGAGATTTATGGCAGAAGTTAGAGTCGAGAGATTGGCCACTAGTGTAAGCGGTCTGAACATGGTGTTTAAATGAGAGTCATTTCAAGACCGGGTCCCTCCAACAATGGGTCTCAGGTGAACCCACTGTCAGCAAAATGAGGGGGCGCTCAACCAACCCCTCATATGCATCTTCCAGATGCGCAGTTTAAGTTCCCTCTGACCCAGAACAGGATATGTTGGCCTAAGGGTGACTCCTATCTTTGGAGCTTTTATAATAATGCACACATATTCTAAGGAAGAAAAGAGCATTAAGCCCAGGAAAGGAAGAAGGAAAAAAAATATCACCAACTTAAGGGTGAGAAACCTATGCAATCCCACTGTGAAATGTGAGAAGAGAAAAAAAATCTCAAAGCTCATTTTGGGTTTCAGAGTTCACCTTATTGCCAAGGGAATCTACAGACTTGGGGTCTGTAGATTGGGGTTATACTCTCTGGTTTTTGAAAATGAAGGAGAGAGATTATAAGTACAGGGGGAGGCTAACAGAATAAATCACATTCAAGACAGAATATTTACGAAGACTTACCAAAGTGGATGCCTCAGAAGAGCCCCGGATAGGCCACCCAGAGAGGCTGCGGGAGAAGAGATGTCTGGGAAAAGGTCCAAGGAATTCCCAGAGACACGTTCAAGGGAGAACAGGGGCAATCTCAAAAGAGAGACTTCTTTGGGGTACAGCTAGGGACGTACACTTAGAGAATGCAGGATACCTCGGAGAGACAGCAACCTGCTGGAGTGGCCTGTTAATCTAAAGTGCCAGGCTAGGAGCTGGACAAGGGGAGGAGGCAGGGTGGAGCTATAGGGTTTCACGCAGGTTTGCCTTCCTTACACATCCCCTCCTTTTACAAGGGTTTGTCAACCCAGATTTCCAACTGTGCTTTCTGCATCTCAATAGCTGTGGGCGTTTCCTTTAGGACTCAGTGCTTCTCTCCCTTTATCCTAAATCCCTATCTTTGCAATATCATTCAATAGTATATATTAGGTAGTTCATGCATTTTGTTCCCCCTTCGCTTACAGTATCAACTTTCAGACTTTAAGCAGATGACCCATGTACAGATCTCACGGCTCTCATCCTATATTTGAAATTCAAATTTCAACCTTAAAACACTCATCAATCCCCTGACACAATATGTTGCTGAAAGGCAGCGCCTTCTCCAACAATCTTGTCCCTCTAACTGTGCTTATATTTTAAACTTCTACAATCTCTGAAAAATAACTGTGGCATCTGTCATTGTCAAAGAAGAGAGCAAAAAGCTGATAGAAGTCCGGTGTGGTGGTGCACGCTTATAATCCCAGCTACCTGGGAGGCTGAGACAGGTGGATGGCAAATTTTGAGGCAAGCCTCAGCAATTTAGTGAACCACTGTCTCAAGATAAAACAACACAAAAAGGGCTGGAGATACAGTTCAGTAGTAGACCACTTGCCTAGCATGAGTGAGGTCCTGGGTCCATCCCCCAGTACTGCAAACAATATCAACAAAAATAAAATAAATAGGGGCTGTGGCTCAGCAGTAGCACACTTGGCCTGGCATGTGTGAGGCACTTGGTTCGATTCTTAGCACCTCATATAAATAAACAAAAAAAGATCTACCAACAACTAAAAAAAGTTTGCCAATGGAAACTTACCACTTGAAGTGATGTTCACATCCATTTTGGGAAGAGGACCTAAATCCAGAGGGATGAGTGGGCAATTGAGCCCCTTCCCAATACTGGAGATATCAAAGCCTAGGAAGACCCAACCCTTTCTTAAATACCTGTATATTTAACCCTTTCTTAAGTGTTTAACACCTTTGGAAAGAAACTTAAAGCAATCACTGAAGGATATGGAGAATAAGTCCAAGGACCTTTTCCTTTTCTATAGCTCTTCCACTTCCACCTGGTACGGAGTCAAATTGAAGATTTTGTCATTTAAAATCCCAGGCCTCAGCCGGAGTGAAGGAACACAAAAGGAACCTGACTGGTACCTGACTCCCCACCCTAATGGGTCAGCTGACCCCAATATGATAAGTCCCAGGAAATTCCCTATTCCTGTCCCACTCTAATGGATCCAATGAATCCTAGGAACTACCCTCCTGTCCCACCCTAAATGAAGACTATATAACCCAGACCCTTTCTTCAGCCCTCTGTCATTTTCTGCCCTGAAAATGAGCCACACCAGGAATACTGAATAGGTAAGAGCTTGCTTCTCCTGCCTCCATTACTGTGTGCGCCATGAACTTATATTAAGCAGAAGTAGATTCTACTAGATAATTTTATATCTTTTAAAATATCTTTCCAATTAGGACTCTTGAGTCTGTGCATACACTTACACACACACACAGACACCATTTTGTTCTTTGTTATCTTTAAGTACTCTTGCTCCTAATTGTTACTATATTAATTACTATATTATATGGATATCCTTACCTCACTTTGTGTTTTTGCTTTCCCAGTGCTTCCTGAAACTCATTCCTTTCACCATTGGAATGGCAGTGTTTATGTGTCAATTTAACTTGTTTATGCGTTAACTTAGTCTATATTTCCCAGTTACTCAATAAAACACTCACAGGTGTTGCTGAGGAGGCCTTTTGTAGACATGATCTGATTACATAATCAGATGGTTTTCAGCAAATGAGATCATCCTGGATAATCTGAGTGGGCTTGATTCAATCACTGAAACACAAAGCCAGGTTCCCGGAAGGAAAATAGAATCCCACCTGTGCAGGGGAGCTTCCCTGCCAGGTTCATGGTCCACCAGGCCCACAGGATTGAGGACTCCTAGGTGCTGCTACAGGATGAACACATGCAGTTTCAATTCATTTGTTAAAGACCTTACTCAGGCAGGTGCAGGTGTTAGAAGATGCAGCTTTTGAGAGTTGATTAGATTAGCAGGTGGTGTTCTCAGGAATGTGAGTAGGGGCCCTTGTGAAAGATGCCAGCAACTGGGGAGCCAGCCAGAGGGAGACTGGGAGAAGAAGGAGCACAGGGGAGAGGGAAGGGAAGGGGGAGAGGGAAGGGAAGGGGGGAGAGGGAAGGGAAGGTGGAGAGACCCCCTCTCTGCCATCTGCCTAGTGTGGTTACAAAGGTTACTGAGAAGCTGGTTTTCTATGAAGTGAGTCCTCACTATGCACTCAATCTGCCTGGACTTCCCAGCCTCCAGAACTGTGAGAAATGAATTTATGTTTTAAGTCATTCAGTCTATAATATTTTGTTATAGCAGCCTGAGTGGACTAGGACACCCACATAATAAATGTAGTGTGTGTGTATGTATGTGTGTGTGTTTGTATGTATATATATATATTACACAAAACACATGCATTGGTAGGTATGGTGGTGCACACCTGTAATCCCAGCTACAAGGAGGCTGAGGAAGAAGGATCACCAAGTTTGAGACCAGCCTGGGCAATCTGAAACAAGACCTTGTTTCAAACAATAAAATAAATAAATAAATAAATAAAATACTGGGGATGTGGCTCAGTGATAGACTACCCCTGGGTTCAATCCTTAGTAACAAAAAATAAAACAGTAAGTAAACTATATATATATATATATATATATATATATATATATATATATATATATATATATATATCACTAGTTCACTAGGGTACTTGGCTTTATTTTGGTACTAGGGATTGAACCCAGGGGCACTTAACCTCTGAGCCACATCCCCAAGCCCTTTTCTGAGACAGGGTCTTGCTAAATTGCTTAGGGCTCCACTAAGTTGCTGAGGCTGGCTTTGAACTTGCCATCCTCTTGCCTCAGCCTCCCCAGTTGCTGGGATTACAAGTATGATCTACAGAGCCCAATGGGACTTTTTTTTTTTTTTTGGTAGTTGTAGATGGACAGCATGTCTTTATTTTATTTGTTTATTTTTATGTGGTGCTGAGGATTGAACCCAGTGCCTCACACGCGTGAGGCAAGCACTTTGCCACTGAGCCACAACCCCAGGCCTGGGACTTGACTTTTTAACACTACTGATTCTACTTCTATAAGTGGACCCTGACTGATAAAGACAAGGTATTGAAGGTGGTCCTAGGAAACAGAGTCTTACATGTTTATATATCATATATACAGATACATAATTAACTGTTAATATACTGTAAAAAGTACATGTTATGTACTTATATAATTAGTGACTTCAACACACCAATAACTCTAATGGTGAAGAGGGCACCGGTGGTCCCTGGTGTGATGTGGTTAATATTGCCACTGGCCAACCCCTGTGAGTGCCAAACATACAGCAGCAGAGAGTCTGCAGTACAGCACATAACCTGGTGACAGGGGCATTCCCATCTCAGAGGAATTTTGTTCTTATTGAAGTAGATTCTCTGGTATGGGTTCTACTTCCTGTGTGCAGTGCTTCTGCTCAAGCTACCGTCTGGGATTTGCAAAATGTCTTATCCACCTTTGTGGTTTCCTACAAAGCATTGCTTTTTACATATTATTATTTTAATTTTAGATAATGATGGGGTACAGTGTGAAAACTTGATACATGTTTGTAATGCCTAATAATTAAATCAAGTTAGTTAACATTTCCATCTCTTACCACCAAAACCAAGATGTAGAATAGTTCTGTCACTTCTAAAATATTTGCTTCACTTTTGAGTCAACCAAAAGGAGGCTGAGGAAGGAGAATCAAAAAATTCTAGGACAAGCTGGGTGCATGGTGCACACCTGTAATCCTAGCAATTTGGGAGGCTGAAGCAGGAGGATTGAGGGTTCAAAGCCAGCCTCAGCAATTTTGCAAGGCCCTGAGCAACTTAGTGGAACTGTCCTAAGACAAATAAAAAGGGCTGGGGCTGGGGCTCAGTGGTTAAGTACCCATGGGTTCAATCCCTAGTTACAAAATTAATTAAAAAAACAAAATGATACAAAGCCTCAGGAGTCAATTTATTCATGGCCTTGAAAGATAGTCTCTCCTAGACCTGCTGGTGCCAGCCCTGAAGCCTGGAATTCCATTATTCCTGTGGTCAGTGAGCCTAGGAGCAGATAACTTGGCCAAGGACAGGAAGAAGTTACTCTTGCTTCCCTCAATAACCTTGAGCGTGGAATTGTGTGGGTCTTTGACACTAATTCAAAGAATGAGAAATTCATGGATGCTAGTGGGTGAAAGCCAAGTATAAGCATTTTTTAAAGCAAAGCAAAGCTCCTGCAGCAGGGAGGGGAACTGAGAGAGTTGACAGTGGATGGCTATAGTCTAGGGTTTATATGAATCTGTAGATTTAAGGATGTCAGCTCCTGGCTCAATCTTGGGTAAGGCACTCAGTGTCCCTGAGGCATTCATGCAGCCTTTAGTCCAGTGAAAATATTAATCAAGCTGGTGTGATGGCGCATGCCTGTAATCCCGTGGCTGGGGAGGCTGAGTCAGGAGGATCCTGAGTTCAAAGCCAGCCTCAGCAATGGCGAGGCGCTAAGCAACTCAGTGAGACCCTGTCTCTAAATAAAATACAAAATAGGGCTGGGGATGTGGCTCAGTGGTTGAGTGCCCCTGAGTTCCCCAGTACAATCCCCAGTACAAAAAAAAAAAAAAAATTTGATCAAGCGTTTTCCTTCTTTGGAGAGGCCGTGGCCTCCAGGTTACATATGTCCCAATTTCCTATGGACTCCAGGTCATGCATGTCCTGATTTAAAATAACTTTTTGCAAGTTTCTCATCAAAATCTTGCAGCTGCTGTTTTTGCTGTGCTGCAGAGGAAGTTGCCCTGGGGCCCATTTCCCTGTCTGCCTAGCCTTATCTCTTCCTGCTCACCTCAGGTAGGGAGGGGGAGAGGGACAAGAAGGTTAAAAAGAAGTCGGTTTTAAAATGAGGTTGGGCAACGTGGTGCATGCCTATAATCCCAGGGGCTCGGGACACTGAGGCAGGAGGATCCCAGTGGCACAGGAGGTTGAGGCAGGAGCCAGCTTCAGCATCTTACTGAGGCTCTCAGCAACTTAGTGCAACCCTGTCTCAAAATTAAAAAAATAAATAAATAAATAAAAAGGGCTGGAGATGTAGCTTAGTGGAAAAGAAACCCTGGGTTCAATCTCTGGTACCAGTAAATAAATAGGTAAATAAATAAATAAATAAATAAGCAAGCTATAAATGGCAGAGCAGCAAGGGTTATATTAAAAGTATTAAGTGGACCCCTGTTACAGAAGAAAGACAATCAAAATTAAATTCCAAACAAAATAGTGGCTATTATCCTGGGTTATTTTAATTAATTAATTTATTTCTTGGTACTGGGAATTGAACCCAGAGGTACTCTGCCACTGAGCCATAGCCCCAGTTTTATTTTTTGTTGTCAGGGTGCTACCATGCCCAGTTTACACTAGAAATTTTTTTGGCGGGGGCGTACTGGGGATTGAACTCAGGGACACTCAACCACTGAGCCATATTCTCAGCCCTGTTTTTGTATTTTTTTATTTAGAGACAGGGTCTCACTGAGTTGCTTAGCGTCTCGCTGTTGCTGAGGTTGGCTTTGAACCCGCGATCCTCCAGTCTCAGCCTCCAGAGCCACTGGGATTACAGTGTGTCCCTAAACACCAGCTTATCCTAGAATTTTTGATCCTCTTTCCTCAGCCTCCTGAGACGCTGGATGTGTATTACCATGCATGTTTCCTGGATTATTTTAACAGATTTGTTAAAAAACAACATGAAACTAATTTTGCTACTTACACACGGGATAAAATGAAAGCAATCTGTTAACATGACCGTGAAATAATCTGTAGAACTAAGATTATGAACAATCTATAGGCACAGAGCATTAGGATGTATAATCCTATCTGGTTTTCCTTTCATTTCATATATTTATTTTGGTGCGGGGGGGGGGGGATCAAAGCCAGGGCCTCATGCATGCTAGGCAAGCATGGCACCACTAAGCTTCATCCCTGTTAGGAAGAACTTGACACAGGCAGCGCCATTTTGAAATGTATCCTCTTATTAGAACAAGAACCACCTCAGCTCACTCTGACTCAGCCTGATGTAAACCCCATCAAACTCCATTATCATGCAGAGAAATCCCAAACACTCCATTCTCAAAAGAAAGGAAACTGATCTGGGACCACAATCCTGAAAACCCCTGAAGGTGACACAAAGGCCCTTTCCTGACAACTCCCTGGTAATTCCCCCCCCACACACTGCCCCATACCTACCCCAGGCGGTAACTGGAGGAGTCTCAGTCTCCCCTGGGCCCCCCTCGGGCAGCCCTGTCGGGGAGGACCTGTGCTGCTGCAAAGCTGCCTCTCCTCTCTTCATTTCCTCCATTTGGTTCTTTCCTTCCAGTATCCAGGCCCGTTTTTCATTTTAGACATTTACAATCACTTAACAGCAATAAAACTGGAATAGAGAAACTCGGTTATTCGAGTGGAGAGGAAAAGAGCCTGTTGTGATTCCGGTTCTGTAGTGTAGGCTCAATGGAAGGCGGGGCCAACTCGGAGGGGCTGGCCTCTGCTCAGGCTGTGTGTACACACACCCCTCGTGGCCAGTGCAGCCTGGGGGGAGGATGTGCTGAGCCTGGGAAGCCTGAGATGATTCCTAGGCAATTTCTTCCAGGATTTCTGCAAGTAGGGGAGACCAGAGCGTTCTCTTCTTTAGAGTTGCCCCTTTAAGACTTAAGGGGACAAGGTGGAGGCCTGGGGTGTTGCCCAGGGTTTCTGATCTTATGAGCATGTTAAATCAAAGCAAAGTCCCTGGCCGCTGTCTCTTGCTCCTGGGATCTTCCTCCTGGAGTGCTGATCCTGGGAGGGTCCCTGACTAGTCACAGCCTGGTGCTTTTCCTTCCTCAAGGATCTCAACATCCAGAGGATGCATGCCCCCAAGGGCTTCTGCCCAAATGCCTTATTTTCAATATCTGGGACATAAGGCTAAAATTTTTTGAAAACTACATTTTTCCTCTTCTTTCTGTATCTCAGGTATGCGTTTCCTTTTCTTCTTCTCCTCCTCCCCTCCCCCTCCTCCTGATACCATCGGTTAGAGTCCTGCTTCCCCACGTGTTGAAGTTTGAACATTAGAGAAACTGCCCCCCCCCCCCCCCCGCCACACACACACACAAGCATAGAAAGCAGGGTTTATTTAAAAAGGGGCAACATAGACTTGTCCCGGGAGGGAGAAGGGGGCCATAGCTGGTAACCTGGTATCCCAAGAAGCAAGGTTCTGCCTTTTTATATGTCCTAGGCTTCCTGTGTTCTCCTGCCTTCTTTCCCTTATCTTTCTCCCTCTTGCCTATGTGACTAGGCCCAGGAATGCCCCGTGGGGTGGCCAAAAGGTGGGAAACAGGTGGGCTAAAGGGGGAAGGGCCGGATGATGCAGCCCAGGGCACGTTAATTAACAACTTTATAGCTCCCAGTAGGAAGGGGCAATTCCTGGGCAGGTTAGCTTAGCAACAGGTTGGAGTGGAGTAGGGGCTGGTTCTTGATAAGGGCGGAGAAAGGGCTCTAAAGGAATTAACATTTCAATCCCACCAGGGACAGTCTCCAACATGCTGGGCTCACTCAAAATTGGCCTTCTTGATCCCGCCTGACTCGATTTACCTATCTATACTGTCTTATTCTGGCTTCACTCCTCTTCCCTCTCCTTTTTTTTTTTTTTTGCCAGTGGGGGTTGAACCCAGGGGTGCTTTATCCTGGGTCACATCCCTAACCTTTTTTATTTTGAGACACACTCTCACTAAATTGCTTAGAGCCTTCCTAAACTGCTGAGGCTGGCCTCCCCCTGCCTCAGCCTCCTGAGTTGCCGGGATTATAGCCACCATAGCAGGCTGGAGACCGACCTTCCTTCCTTCCTTCCTATTCAAAATATAAATGGATAAAGTTGAATTAAAAGGGTACTTTAGTTGGACATGGTGATACACACCTATAATCCTAGTAGCTCAGGAGGCTGAGGCAGGAGGATCGCTACTTCAAAGCCAGCCTCAACAACTTAGTGAGGTCCTACACAAATTAGTGAGACCACTGTCTCTAAAAAAAAAAAAAAGATACTTTGTGTCCTCTGTGCTGTATTTAAGAAATCTCTATCAACCTCAAACCAAGGTCATCAAGATTTTCTCTTGATTTCCCCTAGAACTTTTATAGATTTAGTCCCTAAAATTAGTCTTGCAGACTTGCTAAGGATTTTTCAGTTATCAATTTCTAATTTGATTCCTTTATTGTCAGAGGACATTCTTTTTGGGAATTTAATCCTTTAAAATATATTGAGACTCGATTTTTGTAGCAGGAGGATCTATCTTGTTAAATTTCCATGTGAACTTGAAAATAATCTTTATTTTGTTGTTATTGAGTGCCATGTTCTACAAATGCCAGGAAGGTCACTTATCTTCTGAATTCTTTCTGATTACCTAATGTTTTCTCAGTTATGGAGAGGATTACTGAAATCTCTGGTTATCTTTGTGAATCTGTGTGTTTTTCCCTGCAGTTCAGTTTTTCTTCATGTAGTTGAAGCTCTGGTTTAGCTGCATAAACATTTAGAATCATTGTGTCCTGTTGATGATCATCTTTACCTCTGAGTATATTCTTTTTTTGAGAGGTGTGGGAGATTGAACCAGGTCCTTGTGCACCGGAGGCAAGCGCTCTGTCGACTGATCTATATCCCTAGCCCGCATCTCTGATTGTATTCTTTTTCTTTTCTAGTTGTAGTCGGACACAATACCTTTATTTTATTCATTTATTTTTGTGTGGTGCTGAGGATCAAACCCAGGGTCTCTACCCCTGAGCCACAACCCCAGCCCTGATTATATTCTTGGCTTTGAAATCTGCTTTGTTGTTCATACCATTCTACTTTTTTTTTTTTTTTTGAATTTTTTTAATATTTATTTTTTGGTTTTTGGCGGACACAACATCTTCATCTGTATGTGGTGCTGAGGATCGAACCCCGGCCGCACGCATGCCAGGCGAGCTTGAGCCACATCCCCAGCCCCACCATTCTACTTTTTTTTTTGATTAGTTTTAACAGGGGATGTCTCTTTCCATCCTTAATCTTCTAACACATTTGAATCTATGTTTAAAGTCATTTTCTTGGGGCTGAGGTATAGTTAGGGTAGCACACTTGCCTAGCATGTGTAAGGCCCTATATTCAATCCCCAGCACCACCACAATAACAAAAGTGTCATCTTCTCATAGATAGCACATACTTATTTTTGAAAATGTTCTTTCCTATTTCCACCTGATTTAATTTTCCTTAGGACTTTTTTTTTTTTTTTTTTTCATTTCCTGTAGTGCACAGTGGTTGGTAATGCATTATTTGCGTTATTCTATATTTGACTTTCTTTTTCTTTTTTTTGTGGTGCTGGGGATTGAACCCATGGCCTTGGTCATGCAAGGCAAGCACTCTACCAACTGAGCTATATCCCAGCCCGAGTTATTCTATATTTGAAAAATACTTTATGTTGCTTTCTTGTGTGTGTGTGTGTGTATAATTTTTTTTTTTGTAGTGGGTATTGAACCCAGGGGTGCTTACCACTAAGCCACATCCCCAGCCCATTTTGTATTTTATTTAGAGACAGGGTCTCATTGAGTTGCTTAGTGCCTGATTTTGATCCTCAGCCTCCTGAGCTGCTGGGATAAAGGCCTGTGACAATGTGCCTGGCATCCCTGGTGCTTTTTATATTTTATTTTGAGACCCGGTGTTGCTAAGTTACTTAGGGCGTCACTAATTTGCTGAGGCTGGCTTTGAACTTTGGATCTTCCTGCTTCAACCTCCTGAGCTGCCGGGGTTACAGGCATGTGCCACTGTGCCCAGCTCTGAAATTCCATCTTCTTTTTTTCTTTTAATATTTTTTAGTTGTTAATGGACTTTATTTTGTTTGCTTATATGCAGTGCTGAGAATCGAACCCAGTGCCTCACTCATGCTAGGCAAGCATTCTACCACTAAGCCACAATCCCAGCCCTGCAACTCCATCTTGTTTTAATATTTCTATTGATGAAGACTATAGTTTTTGGGGCTGGGGCTGGGGCTGTGGTTTAGCTGTAGCGCACTTTGCATGACATGTGTGAGGCACTGGGTTCGACTCTTGGCACCACCTTTAAATAAATAAAATAAAGGTCTATCAACAACTAAAAAAAAAAACTTTTAAAAAATCATTAAAAAAAGCCAAAAAAACCCACTGCAGATTTCAATTTGTTTCTTTCCTTTCTACTTCCTCTCTCCCTCCTTTTTCTTTTCTTATTTTTTAAACTGCCTCCCCCCTTTTTAAAAATATTTTTTTTAGTTGTAGGTGGACATAGTACCTTTATTTTGTTTGTTCATTTTTTATGTGGTGCTGGGAATTAAACCCAGTGCCTCATGCTTGCTAGGCAAATTCTCTACCACTGAGCCATGACCCCAGCCCCTTTAAAACTTTTTGAGACAGAGTTTTGCTAAGTTGCTTAGGGCCTTGCTAAATTGCTGAGACTGGCTTTGAAGTTATGATCCTCCTGCCTTAGCCTTCTCCCCTTTTGGTGGGATTACAGGTATGCACCAGTGGGCTAGGCCATCAGATGCATGTAAAAAAAAAATTTTTTTTTAATTGTTTTTTAAAAACATTTTTTTAAAAAAAATTTGTAAATGGACACAATATCACAATACCTTTATTTTATTTATTTTTATGTGGTACTGAGGATCAAACCCAGTGCGTCACGTGTGCCAGGTAAGTGCTCTACCACTGAGCTACAACCGCAGCCCATCCTAGATACACACACACCCACCCACCCCCACACACACCCACACCCACACACACACTGAGGATTGAACCCAGGAGTGCTCAACCACTGAGCCACATCCCCAACACTTTTTAATGTTTTATTTAGAGTCAGGGTCTTGCTGAGTTGCTAAGTACCTCGATAAATTGCTGAGGCTGGGTTTGAACTTGCCATCCTCCGGTCTCAGCCTCCCCAGCTGCTGGCACCCTGTGCCACCATGCATAGCCACCAGATGTATTTTTAAAGGGGTATTTCTATAAAAGGGACAGGGAAGAAATCTAGCCTTCCTCGTTCTCTTCCTCTCTTCCCAGTTGGTGTCCCCTTCATTTGGTCTCCTGTGAAGGGCCAGTGGATTTCCATGTCCTTTGTAGTCTTGATGGTATCAGACCCTGGGCTCCCAGTCAGCAGTTTCCCAGCTCACACGCTTTTCTGCGATGAAGTCGCGGTGTAGTAGCGCCTCCTAGTGACCACTATGTACATGAACCAGTAACACCAAACCACTTTAAAATGCTTCTTGTTCCTGGCACATATTTTATTCAGAGAGATTTCTGTGAAAAATAGTGCCAGTTATGAAGGTTTGATAGAGTTTAAGAAAATGACCACATGGCAGGATTTTATTAATAGAAGTAACAAACTGATAGTTCCAATCCAAAGTGCAGTTTCATAGGATGAATTTTTTGAGAGATTTCTGTAAAAGATAACACAAGTGGTTTTTGACATAATATAATTTTAAAATTTGATAATTA